CATATATATATATATATATTTTTTTTTCCCATTGATTCACCTAGATTTTTGAATAGTCTTCCCAGCGATATACGAAACGCTTCTTGTTTTCCTGCTCTTCGTTGGCTTCTAAAGAAACTTTTGTTTGGCAACTATATCTCCATGAACTGTTAAATTGTACTGCCTTCTTTGTCTGATGTTTAATTGTTTATCGCCAAATACTATCTATTTTTTTATTTATTTTATTGCTTCCCTGAAAAACGCGCGGTACAAATGTTGTATTATTGAGACTGAAAGTGGTCTACACTAAAGTTGAAACAATACAGCAGTTACTCCAGCTTGATCGTCCTTCAGTCTTTCTTCAATCAACGAGACAAGCAAGACTAATATATTTTTTTCTGGCATTCCCGACAAAAGTTGATTTTAATTGATATAATGGTCATTTAGTTGTAAAATGTTTTTTAATACGTAAAATATGTTACAGATTTTAAAACGAAAATTGCAGCCCAGGTGGACAACTAAATTGTCGATCACTAACTCTCCTCTAGAGTTGGCCATTTCGCGTTTGTTAGTGTGTCTTCAAACGTTAACTACCGTTACACGGCCATTGCAAATGGTACCGTACCTCTGTTAGAGAAATTACTGTAGGCCTATACGTAATAATAATAATCATCATAATCGTAATAATAATAATAATAAATTGAAATGCGCCGATTCCAAGAATAATGATCAAAGGCGCAGTGTAAGTTAAAAAGCCAAGCTGTTAAAGAGATGAGTTTTAAGGTCAGATGTAAATGTAGTAATAGATGTATCAGACCTAATGAAAGAAGGTAGATCATTCCAAAGATACGAGGCAGCAGATGTAAATGTTCTTTGGCCATATGTTGTTGTGTAAGATTTTGGAACAGTGAGAAGATTTTGCAAAGATCGAAGACGATGAGTCGGCAAGTAACAAGTGAGATGACAAAAAAAATCTTATTACTAGGGTATTTATTGAAATGTTTGTCCTTACCCTCTGTCGTCTTTGATGGTGTTTCACAAATGACAGGAAAATAACTTGAGGCACATTGTTTACTCTCCCAAAATCCGTACACGGAAGCGGTTGCACACTGACCTTTCTTACTGGAGATTGGCTGTGTTGGGTGCCAACCTAGAAGAGCAAACATACATCATACATATCGTCGTCTTGGTTCTCTCTAAGAAATTTAGACACTCCTGAAACTCGCACTGCTAACCAACTTTATAATTAAAATCATGCAATATTACTTTTCTCAGAAGAAGTTCATCTCTGGTTTCATCAATTCAACAAATTAAACTAATAATAATAATGATTATGAAAATATTAATAACAAGAGCACTCAGTAGAGAGCATATCTCCGCCCAGCGCAAAAACCCTTTCCATAAAATAAATCTTCCAAAATATGTTCCTAATTTACTTCAACCTGCACCACCACTACCGCCCCAACTCAATTCGCTCCACTCCTCCTCAAAAACGCACAATAACTCGCCAATCTCGTTCTATAAAATAATTCCTCAAAAATGTGTACTTTCCAACCACCAACCACAATCTACTTTTAAAAAATTACAACACGAAAGTTTTATTTGGTTGAGTTGTTTAGTATTTGAGATATCTGATCTGCGACATTTTGCTTTGAATGGTACATAATCGACACTTCATTTTTCGAACGCTTTATAGTGTTTCAGTTGTACACCAATTCCTGACATGTTCTGGCTTAACTTAGTGGCAAGTTTTACTCTTATAGCTGACAAACAAAATGCATGCAAGGTATTGGTGTTGAAATAAAAATATTTTGGAAGTAGAAATATGGGGATTTGGTTTTTAGCGTCACATGTTTAAATGTAAAGATGAATTAAAAATATTCCCGAAATTCCGAAAGAAAAGTGAATTTAGTACATATAAAATGCTGTACACGTTTTCTGTAATTGTACTAATTTAAATATTCATTCGATTACTTTTTGTAGTAGTGGTTCTATTAATTTTTGTCATTTTCAGGGGACAATAAATATTTAAATAGCACTTAATAAATGTCCATATAACAATATTTTAATACATAAGCACAATATAATGAGGTTTCTGTTGTGTTACATGGTTTAATAAACGTTATCTAACAACGTACTTGTGAATTTAGCTGTTGGTTCTTCAATAACCCAATTCCATTTTTTTCCTTTGCCAATTGACTTGTATCCTATCCATGATACAATATCGATATTGCATCGTGCAATGTAACGCCGAATGAACTCGTTTTCGTCTTCATTGTTGATGACTGGAAGATGTCCCCCTTCTTGCACGCACAGTGCTTCTGCTTCGCTCCACAATGCCCTCTGGTTAAGGTTTATGTAGCAGCTTTTCATCCAACAGTTAGAATAATCTGAAAAGAGGCTCATGTAAATAAATTCATTCAGTATAGAATAACACGATATTCACAGAAATAATAAAAGATATATTCTAACACAAATTTATTGGAAACTAATTACGATAGTACAGTGACGCCATACCTTTAGTTAAAAGTGGCGTATATGGTAGTGGTAGATTTAATATAGCACATAATACTAGACGAAATGTTGCCGTTACGCCCTCTGGTGAGAATGTATGAAGCAATAGAGTATGAGACGAGACTCAGGGCTATGCAGTGTGGGGACATTGTTTATTACTGAAACTTTCCTAATAAATTTACGCAGCCAAACACTGTTTATTACTGAAGCTTTCCTATTAAATTTACGCAGCCAAACATTTTAATTATTATTATCAGGCCAAAATATAAATGTATACAACCTCACTTTGATGATAACAACATGATAATTTGAAAATAACAAGGTTTGTGATTCATGATAACACGACACGTTGTTCACCCATAGAAGCTCCCTACACCTCTGATTTGCTCAGATCAGATAAACAATTAAGCGTCCGTTACGTTTTACGAAAAATGGTATTTGAGAGTTGTTCTTACTCAAATTCCGAATTTGAAAAGTGTTCATATGTTTTCTAGTTTGGTCTATTTCCGTGTGCTCGGCTCTCACGCTGCATGTTCTGTCACAAAATGTATTCCAACTTTTAAAGTATTACGATATGTGGTCTAGAACAACAGACATGTCTATCTCTCCCCAACCTTTAACCGTGTCAATTCTACAAGAAACTGAAGATGGTCGTGCAAGATTATGCGCGACAGTCTTCATAAAATTCTATCGCCCCATACAACACTTATTGAACTCTAATGCACCCACTTTTAGTGAAACATGCCCGATTACTTTCCTGGTTTTATCATACATCTCGTAACAACTAACTAATTTGCCTATCAAATCTTTTCCCACACTGGAAAAGAACAAGGGATATTACAATACTTGAATCGTAATACTGTGATTGGAACCCTGGAATAGAACAGGGAATATTACAATACTGGAATCGAAAACATTGGGATCGGAACCCTGGAATAGAACACGGAATATTAAATACTGAAATCGTAAACACTGTGATTAGAACTCTGTAATTGAACACAGAATATCACAATACTGAAATCGTAAACACTGCGACTGGAACACTGGAATAGAACACGGAATATTAAAATACTTGAATCGTAATACTGTTATTGGAACACGTAATAGAACAAGGAATATTACAATACTGGAATCGTACTGTGATTGAAACACTGAAATAGAACACGAAATATTTCAAAACTGGAAGCGTAAACACTGTAATGGGAACACTGGAATATAACACGGAATATTATAATACAGGAATTGTAAACACTTGAAACACTAAAATAGAACACGGAATATTTCAATACTGGAATCGTAAACACTGTGATTGGAACACTGGAATATAACACGAAATAATACATTACTGGAATTGTAGACACTGTGATTGGAACACTGACATAGAACACAGAATATTAGGCAATACTAGAATTGTTGTAAACACTCTGATCGGAACAGAAGATATATATTTGGAATACTAGAGAACTGAAACATGATATTCTAACCCAGAATTCAGAATGATGCAATTAATTGGCATTCGAATGTGAAATTCAATTGTTAATTTATTTCAATCATTCATTTTATTTAAATTTGACATTGTGACAGCGATTTTTGATGACAGGTATTGAAACAAATTATGTAAAACTTACCCAAGTGCGAGTGATCGGTAATTACGTAAGTGACATTAAATCCCATCGAGCTTATATAGTTGTCTGTGTTAAAGTACAACAGCATCTCATTTCTATCGGAAATTACTTTACCAGGTATCCTATAACCACATAAACTGCAAATAGTAAGCAAATTGTTGTTACGTTCTACGAAATAATATACAGTATTATTATAATACCTTTACTATTACTACTATACTATTATCTCCACCAGGAGCTGATACAGTATATGTTTTCAGTCATGTAAGTTTGTGTGTGCATATGTGTGTGTGTTCAAATATCTCATTGAAATGCCAACCTATTGTCCTATACCGTATAATGAGTATTCAAATTAATGCAATTACAGTAAATATTTACAGCGTTATATATGTACTGTAACATCATTTTTTTTTTGGTGTGTTGGGGCGGGGTTTTGAGGCGAAAATTTTTGAGGTTTTTTATGAGTAGCAGAGCGAAGTAGTTGTGGTGGTGGTTGGAAATTAGAAACATATTTTGAGAGATTTATTTTACAGAAAGTGATTTGCGGTGGGCGGAGACATGCAAGTATCCTTGTTATTATTATTATTCCTTTTACTTTTATATTAATTGTTTTATATTACTTTTTTGAAATTATTATTTTTGTTATCAATAATATTATTAACAATGTCAATGATAAAAATGTCATTGATAAAAAATGCTTTCGATAGATAGTTCTGAGAGTGTCTCGAAGTTTTGACCGAGTTCCTTCAATCTTTATCAAGAGATTAATCTGCAGAGAATCCTATCAAGGAAATGCTTGATGATTTGGAAATTAAACTATCTGGTAATTGGTGTAAACTGCAAAATGTATTATTATTAGTATGTTATTTTACTAAGATTATCATTTATTATTGTTAATTTTTTTATTACTATTCTGATTCAATTAACCTATTATAATATTGTTATTCATTATTTGTGTTAGCGTTAATATTGTTACGTGATTTCTTTTTTTCACCATTTCCTTTTTATTAGACCTCCTATTTGGGTATTTTTGCCTATTATCAATAATAATTATAATAATTATAATTATAATAATAAAAGATTGTTTTAAGAATAATATTAATCTAGAGCAAAGAGATTACAATATAATATTATAAAATACTGTGAGTTATTAATTATTTTGTTATTATTTTGACATACTTCTCTGTCTCCTCGTAAACATCTTTATCACGTACTTGCAAAAAGTCAGATTTACATCCAGGTGAAGATTCGATAGAAAACGTGTGAAACGTCAGTGTTATAATGTTTCCTTCTTCTGCCTGAGAACGTCAAATGATGGTATGAACATAATACAGTCAAAATATCAAACTTGATAATATTTGACCTGAAAACTTAATCACAGGTCTCCCTCTAATTAATGACTACTTTTGGGACAGTGGTTTTAGTGGGGTTTTGTGGTTTTTAGTAGCTTTGGTCTCTAATTAAAATCATTCTGATTAAAGACCAGTACCGTACTAAAAGTTATCATTAAATATCTCTATTTAGAGTGATGATATAGTAAATGTACGATTTGTTTATTCCAAATGTTTTAGAAGGGATATACAGTTACTGTATGCTGTTACTGATTCTTAATTAACCATTTCTTGGTAGTCACACATCAAGTCCTGCGGTCGTTCTAACAAAAACAATATTATAATAATACTAACAACACCATCCTACAAAAAATATCAGTAGACATATTCAATATAGAGCACTGAATATACAGAACATCGGCTTATGGTGTGTATTACTTCCATGTATACCAATAGTCATATAATCATCATCATAAATTATTTAAAAACAACTTTGTATCTGCTAAAACCATGGTATGATACATTATATTTAAATGTTTTCCTCCAAGTGTTTTAGAATGGACTATATCCCGATTCATAATAAACCATTTCTCTGTAGCGTTTTACCTAATACCCATTTAATAGACCGAATTAGTCACCAAAACAAATCTGCTGTAGCGGGTATAACATCAAAACAAACCCCTAGGTTGCAGTTTCTAACACAATAATTATAGCCTCCGCTAAAATAAATTTTGACAATTTTTAAACTCCTCAAACTTGTTTTTCATCCCGTGCCGACTTCAGGCTCCGCACATAACAAAACAAAAACTTGTTTATTTGTACATATTATCGTAAACTAACTTATCGAAAAGCCTTGGTAAATATTCCTTTAATAAACGTCAGAATTTTGATCCATAGATTTGAAAATGCATTACAAACAACGTGCTTCTAACTCATTTTTGGTCATCGTAGTCTAAGAAAACATCTTATTCTACAAATTAGGTTTGTCCAATAGTTTAAATATTTCATACACAAATTGCAACAAAATTATTTAGCAAGAGTATTTAGGCTGAATGTGTACCGCTAAAGCAACAACGATCCCTTCAGTCAGCACTGGATGTCGAGTCGCCGAAGCGATAGGCCTAGACCCTTTAGAAGGTCTCTCAAAACTCTTCATATTTTTAGTCTGAATGGAAATTTAAATCAAATCAATCTTAATCCCATGATTATATGAAACATTAAATATGCATATTTCAGCTGGAGGGCTGAAATACAAGTTATAATAGCGCACCGTCTTTCGGATGAAACGTTTAAGCCGTTGGTCATGTGTGCATTTATGGCCCATGTACACGTTAAAGAACGCAGGGTTGCACTCTTCGGAAAAGAGTAGGTGATTGTCTCCCGGTGTACTGCCCAATCACCACCAGAAGGACCCCACTGGAAATAAGTCTTCAACGTCCTGCTAAACAGCCTACTTACATGGATGTACCATAGACAGTGGGTGTTGTCGTCGTACGGTGAAGGAAAGTTAGGCGATGTTATTGTTCCAGATGTAGCAGTCAAGTTATATCTGCAACCTAAGTGGAACATATCAATTGAATAATAAACAAATACAACAATGTTGTTATAAAAAATATGTTTTCATATAACATGTAATTTATTTAAATCGTATGCCCAGTCATTTGTAGGTTTTAATGGCTATGTTCTCACACGGCAGCTAACGGTTAGCAGGATCCGGATCCCAACAATATGATGATCGAATCACTGGCCAATAAGAAACTGGAAATTGTAAACGCGTACAGGTACGTGTGATTGGTTGATGATAGAAACGCCCTCAACTTGCTAACCGATAGCGCTTGCTAACCGTTAGTGAATCCGGATACCGCTAACGGTTAGCGCTAAACGATCGGGCGTTCTCACGCAGGTGCTAACGGTTAGCTCCCGATCCGGATACTAGGGCTCTCGTGAGAACCAGGCTAATATGTTGATAAAATAATAGCAACAAAGCAAATGGAAGTTCCTGCTAAGCCCTGCCCCTTGAATATTGCTAAGGCCCCACAAAACGACATGCAAGTACATTCGCAAAACAAAGATTTGTCAAACATACGAATAGTCTCGGATCACACATTCAAAACAACAGACTAAATTTTTGGGTTTGACCGACATTCTGGCAAATGTATTGAATGAGTTAAAATTTTGAATATAAGCCGAGCCAATTTAGGTACCTGTAATGGCAATGAATACGAATGTTGCTCGTCATTATATTTTATAAAAATTTCATTGATGTTTGTATTTTACAAATTGTTCCTACTTAGTACTATTTTGTTTTCGTTCCGTTTTCCCTACAATGCGAAAATAAATAGTTACTGGGCACTGTACATACGTCTGTCACTGTCTATAGGTTGTATCTATGTGTTGCACTTTATTGTAATTAATTAATTTTTTTTGTTTTTATTGGTTTTTTTGCCCTACAGTATTTTAATTTTTTTTTCTTACACTATTGTAAATGTCGTGCATTCAGCCGTAAATAGCTGCGAATCGATTGTGAATATAGATTATAGAAACGTTACCGTATTACCTCTTAACATCTCAGCAGGTTGGTCATTACAGTAGTCATCGGGTTCGTTTTCATCGGCTTTAAAGCAAAAACATTCGCATCTGGCACCAAGAAAACCATTTCCACAGTCTGTTTCTGGACATCCAGCTACGGAAAGAAGAGCTTCGATTATACGCTTACACAATTGTCATGTAGTTGGATTTAAATCGCTTAATACCGAAACGGTCTGAAAGCGCTCAATGTGTAGATTAGTTGCTTCTATTCTAGGGTCAGTTCGTGTCGAGTTACCCAGTAATCCGGTACCGACTCTGCTTCTGTCCACAAGAGGGGCTGTATGAACACCGGGGTAACCCCCTACTCGAAAGATAGATATAATGGGTTTTTTTTAGTTTATAGTGAACATGAGCCTAATTGAGTACACCATCACAACCAGCGCCTATATGACTGTACGTTGCGGCGCCCCTGCCTTCACCGCTCGGCCATTCGACTTGCTGCTCCCATCTAATTAGAGCCCTTCTACCCCAAGCACATTCACGAATACCCTCCCTCGCCCTTTCCCTTTTCCACCCCACTCTTACCACTGCAACTGTAAACGTCATTCAGTATGTGGATGTCATTATACGTCATGGATCGACGATCGCCACCAACGTCGTACTGTAGCAACGGATTTACTGTTTTAATAGATGGAAAACGACCGTCTATTGCAAAAACCTGCACAATTAAGAATATTAACAGCAACATCATCAATAATAATTATTATAATAATACTGTAATAGTAATAATAACAATAGTAATACTGTAATAATAATAATAATATTAATAATAATAATAATAATAATAATATCAACAGCAAAAAAATGATAATTTATATAAATTTTCTAGCCTATGTAATCGTACTTGTACTTTCGGGTTTTTCGCCCAAGATAAAGATACCAAGTTGTATTTTGGTTTAGACAAATTAGCCTATAACAGTTAACATTTTATTTTAAGATTAAACGAAAACTTACCTGTTTGAAGTTTGATCGTAATTTCATAAAGTAATAAAGTAGGAGAGATTATCTGAGATACGAAAAACGCATGCGTAAATCGGAGTTGAACGCTAGCATGTTATAGCAGTTACAACTACTGCACTACCATGCTTATAAAAACAGGGAATGAGCTTGGAGTCGTCATAACAATAAACAACAATTCCTACGTATTCCGGTAACACATGAAATTAAGGGTCGCGGAGGGATGGCATATAATCTCTCCTACTTTATTACTTCATTTACGATCAAACTTCGAACAGGTAAGTTCTCGTTTAATCTTATAGTTTCATTCCGTAATACATAGGAGATCTTATATGAGAGTTCAAATGTCCAAGCTCATTACTCTACTCAATAAGAGAGAAACACATATTAAGGTATCATTCAGAAATATGGTTTTATTTAATACCAACAAACAGAACAAACTACGCTTAAAATGCGTTTCTTTACTAAGACCAAGAAACATTATCGTCTTAACTGTGCAATTTATAACTCCAAAAAACTGACGTTTATAAGTGAACCTAAACCAGTAGGTCGACTACCACCATATAAAACAACACATTTTTTTTTGTTTTTGTTTTTGTTTTTTTGGACCAGAAGAAAAATGACCACTGTATGTATTACATTACAACTTTACTTTCCATGGGTCTTACTGTAAATAGCTATTTTATCCATTAATCATTCGTTATCCATAAGAGGTTTATTATAAAACCGATTTACTGTTTTTCGACCTGTCCATCCCCCTTTACTCATAACCACCTGAATGGAAGGTGAAGTGGGGGGGGGGCTCGATGATCATTTGAGAGGCGCTAATTCGCAAAATATGGTGAATTTAGGTGATTATTAACTACTTGACCGTGATTTTTTGGGGGCGAATGGGGGGACGCGAGTCATTTTTTGGGGGAGTGCGCCACCCCTCCCCCTTCGAGCCCTCCCGTAGATATGCCACTGCTTACAGAACGAGGCTTGAAATTTGTACTAATGCCCGCTTCAATCATTTGGTTCTTAACATACCGTGCTAGAGTATCTCTAGTAGCTACTCAATGGGGCTTCTTTATACATAAGAACAGCGATTTTTCCCCTTTTGATGTCGCTGTTAGATCCAAATAATCCCCTAACGTTTGTACTGGACATATTTTTGGATCCTCTAAATTTTTAACCAATTGAATTTTATGCCCATAGTTATTTGGTCTTGTTGTTTTAATTAACTCCGTAATGACAATTTTAACTCCAATGGAGTTTCGCTGCATATTATCCAGGGATAACTTATGAAGAGTCTGAATCCTGCTAGTGGTTACTGCCATTAGTAGTGTGACAGTTTTTAATGTTAATAGTTGTAAAGATTGACTTATATCATCTTGACTTTTGAAATAGTATATAACAATATGTCTCCCATGTATAGGCATACCTAGGTACAGGGGTTTTTTCGTTAAAAACACCTTTCATAAACCTGACCACAAGTGAGTGGTTCCCTATGGTTTGTCCATTATTAAACTTTAGACAAGAAGACAAAGCGCTTCTCGCTGCATTAACAGTAGAATAACTATTAGCTTCCTTATATCAGGGTGTGATTTCACTGTTTCCTGCTTTTATATACCGGTTAAAAACTGGAGAACTAAATTAATGTCTGGACTGAGATTACCCCGTGAGAATTTTACCCACTTTTTAATGTAACAAGTATACATGCTTCTTAGGCTATGTTCTCACACGACAGCTAACGGTTAGCAGGATCCGGATCCTGCTAACCGTTAGCTGCCGTGCGTCCATACAAGAAGATCCCGATCCGGATACCAATAATATGATAATCGAATAACTGGCCAATAAGAAACTGGAAATTGTAAATGCGTACGTGTGATTAGTTGATGATAGAAACGCGCTCAACGTGCTAACCGATAGCGCTTGCTAACGGTTAGCGGTATCAATACCGGATACCACTAACAATTAGCATTCTCACACAGGTGCTAACGGTTAGCGCTAACGCTCCCGATCCGGATACTAGGGCTCTCGTAAGAACCAGGCTTTAGTTGAATCCCTCCATGACGCGTTGATTAGGCTAATCGTCTCTGCTGGCAAGTCTCCAAGTTCCAGTGTCGCTCGAATTACCTGCGAATAATAAAAAAATTATATATTTAATTGTTTCCAAGATACTCTACAAGCTAGGAGATGTAATCTGTCATTTAGTGGATGGATTCGATCCGATCCTGGGAGAGATAGTGTATGTCTACATTTCTGAATTGTTATTGGTGCCGCCTCAAGTTATTGTGGTAGCCTCCCAAACCAAGGTTGGGTTGGTCAATTCGGTACTATAAGTACACCTTTTGCTCGACCCTAACCACTTTTTTTTAGGCATTTATCCACAAGACAAAAAGGAGGAAATGCATAAAAATTCTGCCAGTCTAATGAAAAAGCATCATAGTCCAATGCCCCTGGGTCGGGAAGCCAAAATACATACAATTGTGCGTTGAGCCTTGTTGCAAATAAATCTATGTCTGGTTTACCAAATTTAGTAAATACTTCTTCCACTTTTTTACTAAGCTGCCATTCTTATTCTTCATTAAATTTTCTAGATTTCATATCAGCCATTATATTGTCCCTGCCAGCTACATGAACAGCTGAAATCAGTAATTTTTTTTTTTTTTAGTTAATGCCTATTGCCAAAATGTTGTTTGCTTAATTATTGCATGATTTAGATTGTGTGCCTCCCATATATTTATATAAGCTTTGGCTGTGATATTATCCCTTTTAATTCGAACATGAAAATTTGATATGTGTTTGCAAAATGCCTGTACGTTTAAAAAAAAACAGCTAGTAATTCCAAATAGTTTATAATAATATTTTCTATATTAGGGGGTTGGTCGATCTTAGACCATCGCCCCCACCCCCTATATGGGACATTCGTGCCGCCCCATCCTTCACTACTGGAATCCGATTCAATGGTGAGCAACGGATTAGGCCTGGAAGGTTTCTCATTGAAAAGGCATTAATTATTTCCCACCATTCAATCCCACAACGCATGGCGTTATTCATGTCAACCTGTGCATAAAAATCACCTTTGTTTATTCTCTTGGCTTTTATTTTCTCTAATTCTAGATGCCTATAATGAAGCTTCGCAAATTCTGATGCAGGTAAGGCGGATACAATTTTTCCTATGTAGCAAGCTAGTTTCCGAATTGACAGTTTCTTAATTTCACTTGAAAAAGAAATAATTTCCACCTTTCTTCTGTTGGTCAGTTTAACTGTCATCTCTCTCGAATTAATTACAAACCCTAAAATTCAATTTCCTGTGTTGGTAGAATAAATTGATTTTTCTGGGTGGACAATAAGCCCTAAGCTTTTGAAAAGGTTGATAAAGACAAACAATTTTTTCGCCTGTTCATATGAATTTCCTACCAACAGATTATCATCATTATATGCCGTAATTGTACTACCTTGGTGTCTAAGCGTTGCTAAGAGGACTTTTAATAGTTTAGCAAATAGTCTAGGCCCTAGAGCTAAGCCATTCGGCAACACCGTACATTGCCATAATTTACCTTCCCACATAAATTTTAAATACATCCGATTAAGTCTGTGAATAGGGACAGAGTAATACGCATCTTTGAAATCAAAAGATGTAAAATAACAATTTTTGGATACAAATGTAACTGCCTTTTCTATTGAGTCCATCTTGAAATGATGATATTGAATTGATTTGTTTAAATTAGACAAATCAAGAATCATCCTAAGACCCCGTCTCGTTTTGGCCTAGTAAATATATTGGATATGAATTGGCCTTCCTCGTGAGAGGTCAATTGAATAATCCCTTTGTCTTTGTTAAGCCACTGATTTAACCTCATAAGATTTCAGCTTATGTGGGTAAGGGACAAGATTTTGAGTAGGGACTATGTCATTCATGAATTCTAGTTTTAAGTCCGAAACAATGGTCAGTATGTGTGGGTTAGAGTTTAATTTCTGCCACTCCTTTTAATGTTTTCTTATACGACCCCCAACAAGTCTATGGAAATTATGAAAAAAAGGCGCTAACCTCTGTGAACTCAATTTTCTCGGTTGGAGATTCTTGTACTGGTTGTGGTTCATCTGACCATTCGGTTTGTTGTCGAAGCGGCTGTTCTTGTAACTGTAATTGCTGTTGTAGCTGTTCTTCCCTTTTAGGTAAAGATTTCTCCTCTGCCCTAAAAAATGCTTCTTGTTTGGATTTGTTGAAGCATATTTTTTTGCCATGTCTGTGGATTCACCATCGTGTTTGCGGTGCCTTTTAGCTGTTTACAGATTTTTTCCAGATCATCCCCAAATAGGCACTTGCCAACCGGGTTCTAAGATTTACAGATGCCTTTATACCTGTGACTTAGGTATTTCTTGAGCTGTTCACGCCGAAGCATGTTAATCTCCTCGACCCTAACATGGCCAGGATGTCGATATCCGCCCCCTTTGAGGATGGGCTTTGCGGTCCATGATAAATTGCAAATACAGCAAGACAAGCAACCACGCCCCTTTGAATACGCTGTAGGCGTAGGTCTGTGATTTTTGCAGTTTTATTGAGATTTTCCTAAATTGTTGGGTTTACTTGTGGGACTACCAAATTAGGTAGATTGCTTGGTGCCGGATATTTAGTATGAGTTTCAACTAATACTTTTTGGACCAGTTTTTCAGTGATCATTGTGTTTATAGATAGTTTTTCGCAATTGTTGCAAGATTTTAGGGTCGGTTTTGTAGCCCTTTCTTAGACTTTTGTGTTTCAACGAATTATCGTCTTTTTTAGATTTTTTTTTCGTTTAGTCGTAGTGTCCCCTGTTTTCTCTTAGAATTATCATCATTGCGACCTTCCTGGGCCTTTCCTCTTGCTCGACTCGAGCAGTCTATGACCTGGCCTTCTTGGGCCCTTTTGCTCGTGTGACAAGGATGCTCACCGAGCCGTCATTAATAACTTGCCTATTACTGAAATGAGAAACCTCTTCAAATTCCATACTGATGTCAGGCAGGTTCAGTCCAACATCTAATTCTGCAAACATTAAGGAGTAACCAAAAATGCTTACAGATTTTTGTATAGAACGTTGAAATAAGACAACAAAAATACGCTGCATCACTCAAACATCGCGCACTCTGTTCTCTGATTTGCGCATGCGCTGTTCGTATCTCATATAAGATCTATGTATTACGGAATGAAATATCCTGAACTACATGCATATTATAGCCATGTCCTAGACTAGGCCTGTAATGTACATGGAGAAAAAACAACATTTGAGCTTACATTCCTGCCGTAGTGCAAGATGGAATTCAGATCGTATGGATAATTTGTATTAATGTTTTCCTTCACAAAATTGTAGGCTTTAGATTGTGCAATATTGAGCCAGTTTATTTGCACGTATTCATCGCGATCAGGTCTACTCTGCTCGTGGTAAAAGCCCGCAGTGTGCAACAATTCATGAACGATGTTGCCTTGCTAATAAAACAAACAAAAGTATAAATATGTATGTCTATACTGATTAATTGAACAACTACACATATTGTTTCTATATAGGCCTTTCTATATTAAATATTCACATTTCGTTAAAATAATTTTTAAATAATTTTGATGACCTTACAAACTGTAAGCATCTGTTGGTAAGCCGTAGTGGCTGTCTGCGACTTCCGTACTTTCCAATGTTTGCCACACATCTATTAGAATAATATACAAATAGTATTAGTAACTTTATTAAGACATGACCCAAACTTTGTAATAAAAACAATTGTTAAATAAATTGAAATCCAGTAAAAAGTATCATATACCTATCTCCTAGATCAATGTGAATGTAACTTTTATGTCCCAGAGTTTCAGATATCGAGCTGTTGTTTGGAACGAATTTTAGACATGAGACGGACTCTACATATCGCATCGCTGCCAGTATAGCGCTACTGTTCTCTAGATAACAAAAAAATAATGTATTATTGCTTTATTGACTGCAGTATGAATACATCTAAATATTTCTAAAAGACAGATACGAGTGCTGTATTGATTTTAAAATGTGAAACTATAACATCCACATTCTAACGTAATTCGTTTGGTACATGACAACTATATGTATGCAACAGTTGTTCTTTGGAAGGTATCCAGGAAATCCAAACAAGCTATAGGTTCCATGTAGTCCTACATTTGAATTTGGTTTTTTTTAGTGCGAAAATAACGAAATAGTTTGTTGTTTAATCGGCTGGATTTGAATTGAAAAAATACTGCAATTAGTAACTACAATAGCAATGATAATTTTCGTTGATTTTTTATTATTTAATTTATAAAATATTGCATATGGCCTACCTATTTTTTTACCAATTATGAAGGGTATTACGGCTTGTGGCCAGAGCCATCTGATATCCTGTACTGCTCCACGTTTATGTATTTCTCCTTGAGTTTCCTCCAACTTCAGTAAGGCCAACTCCTGATCCACAGTCAGAATCATGTCTCCTTGGTATGTACCCGGCACTGTGCGTTCCCACAAATGTGACAAGGCTTCTCGATCCACATCTTGCTTTAAGATAATCTTCCTTATCTTCGTTCCCTTTGGAATTCCGCCATTCACGTGTTTATCATCGAACATTTCTCCAGCATACGATTTATTTGTCTGCATGATTTCCACTAAATCAGTCCTCGACCTAGCATCAATCTAAAAAAAATAAAGTTTCGACGGTCAGATCAGTTTCGAACGCACGTATAATTAATACCATGTTCTATTTGGAAGGAAAGACAATACAACAAACATTGTTCAGTTGTCTCAGAAAAAAGTCTTGAAGTGTAGCTGTCATCAAAAGCCGTAATAGCACTGGGAATTTTTAAGTATAACGAACAGTCCGGGAATCCTATCTATTACCGAGCAAGACGAACATTTAGTTCACGAGCCAAAAAAAAATTTCGGTGACAGTACGGTAACGCACAAATAACTGTCTTATAATGTCGCACTCTATAACAATCGTCATACTTTGTAATAATAAATTAGTACAGTAAAACCTCTCCTTTGGGACACCCCTATTCAGGAGACACCCCTATTATGGGGACACTTTTTTCTGAAACGAAGGGCAAATATCTTTTAACACTAAGGCCAACCCCTAATATGGGGATACATCAATTAAGTGGACGGGACACTTTCTGAGTGTGCCAAATGGTAAAATAATCATTTATATCATTGTACCACAACAACACAGCAGTCTCAATATAAGAAAAAAATCATTCAACTTTATATTTTGGCACCTTTTGAGCAATAAACCAGAATTTTCTCCCCTAAATCCTTAGAGTGAATATCGGTATGCCTACTGAATGTGTTACGTCGTATACACCAATGTTGTCAATTTTGACACTTAACCATGAGCATTTCTAGTTTTCTTTGTTTTTCATGTACTTGTATATAGGATACTAATCCATACCATATATAACATGCACCCTTAATTCTAATTCGTTGTCTATTCATGCTACATCCATTCAATAGAAAGCTCAATATAAAATTGTAATTAGCATTGCATCATGAAATAATATTAGCAACATATAAACTATTGTGGTTTTAATTACATTTCTTCTGATTTCATATAGGCCTAAATTGTATTTGCATTGCAAAATATTGCTATAAATTAGATCTAATTCTACTGTAACTGATTCTTATGTCTATAAAAATAAAACTCTATGAAAACATGCTAAAAATGGGGAAAATTTAACGTTTTTAGTTAGTGCCCCCTGAACAGGGGTTCTACTGTAATAACTATTGTTGTATTTTGAGACAAAAAACAAACTGTCGCTCTAGCTTAATAAATTTTCAAGTAACTTTTTCATTATATTCTTCTATAGTTCAATAGATTTGTGATGGAATTTTGTTAGCTTTGAATTAATCAAATCACATGTTATTTGAAGAAAAATAATGTATTTTTTTACATTTACTGTAACGATCATCAAACGTTATCAAATAGGCTTGAATTTTCCAGCAGCGGATTATCAATGCGTGACCTGTATAAACCAGTGGTGTCCAAAGGGGCCAACACGGGCGTCCCCTCCCCCTAATTTTTTGTCAACAAAGAAAATGATATCCAAATTCAAGTCATTTCTGACCATCTCTGCTGGTGCCATTATCATAAATGTTTTACCTCAGCCCCTACCATGGTGCGGTTGAGGTGGTCTAATATTTTAAATATTAATACAGTATAATATAATCAAATATTTTTTTTAAATGGTTGATTTTATTCTTACAAATATTATTGGATTAACATTCAGAAAAGATTGTAAAAATGTGTCTGACCTGTATTAATCAATACAGAGTTTTCCCTAAAACAAAAACATAAAAATGTGGTTCACTGTAAAATGTAAATTAAATACACCTTTATGAGAACAAACAACATTATTGTCTAGTGAGTTTATTTAAAATGTTGAAATTCACCATGAATAATGCATGCCCTTACTTAATAAAATTATATGGTATTAAACGTCTATACATAGAACACTTTGTCACGCAACTTCAGACGCATATAAGTTTATATTTCCTGAAATCATGAGAGTGTTCACTCTTAAAATGCTTACCATAAGGATTGTTGATAGACTATCAATCTCATATATCCAAATTCCAAGAAACAATATGACCACATCATAAGGAAGTCACCTCTTTAAATGTTTAGCATAGATAGTTACAGAAACTTGATTGTTATAAAGTTCAAGTGTATTCGACGTTAAAGTACAAACTATTTTTTAAATGAATAAATGAAAACAGTAGGATTTAAAAATAAACGATTAGCACAATTCCACTGCAAATTACTTCACAGGATAATCCCAACCAACGAAATATTGTATTAATGGAGACTAAGGGAGTCTGTGAATTGTGATATTTGTCAGGTTATTGATACAGATAAACATATGTTTGTAGGTTGTAAAAATGTGAGAAATCTCTTTGCAGAAGTAAGGAACATGACAGATATCGACACAAATACAGACTTATTTTTTAACATTATATTTGAAACAGACAACTTATATAGCAGCAAGGTGTATACTTTAGGTGTCTACTGTATTTATAAAGCTAACATTTCATAATTACTACAATCAAACAATAACATAGATGTATTAACGTTGTTCAGAAACGAAATACACAGACATGAACTATAAATCATACGTCTTGTACTATTATATATATATATATATATATATATTATATATATATTATATATATTTATATATAATTTCTATATTATATATAATTTCTATAGAAGTAAAGAAATAAATGAATTGAACACGTCCTTATGGCGACTCGAATGGCCGAGCAGCCAAGGCAGGGGCGCCGCAGCCTACATCCATAAATCTGGTTCGAACTGCACGCTCGTCAATGGTTCTGGAGGTGGAACAAGTCTTCTCGGATAAGGACCATAAACCGTAGGCCCAGTGTACACAATTGGCTCGTGTGCAGTTTAAAGACCCCAGTACATCTTTCGAGATCAGTAGGGGGTTACCCAGGTGTAGGTCCATACAGACCCTGTTGTCTTGTGATGATATCATGCCAGTTTGAAGAGTGATTTAGTTAACTGTTTTTCATATCCTTGCCCCTAAAGCTGAATAAATCAAAGGCTAAGAATCACTACAATCAAAAAATAACATAGGTGCCTTAATGTTGAGAGTGGAAATTATGAGGGCGATACATCCAAGATGACCTGGTTACATAACTGTAAAAAGATAGATTTTGGACGTGTAATTAAGAAAATTTACAGGAAAGCTATTATTAACAAAATTACATAGGCTTAAATAATACTTTCAACAAGTTATGTCTATCATATAGAAAGGGTGTTGGATTTAATAAAGGTGCAGTGTGATCATAACGTTGAACATTAGAGCATAACCGAATGATATGTTTATGTTTAAGATATATGGAACCAAGGTTACAATTGTTGCAATCAGCCCAGATGGTATTACTATAGAATAAGTGAGGAAGAATTAAGGTTTTATAGAGTGCAAACAATGCGTCATTGGGAAGTGATTCTTTAACCTTAAATAAAATACCAGTATATTTTACCATTAATGTTATTTACATGTGTGGTAAGACAATTATCAAAAATAACTCCAAGAAACTTAGCATGTAAACGTTGGAAAACGTAACATTTTCAATTTCTATGTTAGTAGGTAGTTTTCGCCGCACGTCATAATTTATTCATCTTGCGTTGCGGAGTACGTTAATTTCAGGATTTTACGTACTCGACGTACGATAGTTACGGGTTTGCGCTTGCGTAGTTCGATTTGTTTGCAAAAGGGGCGGAGTTATTGCGTTGCATGTTGGGTACTATCGTTGAAGTTGAGGTATGTTTCTCTTTTATACAGTAACAGATGCTCATCTTTAATTTAGATTTCACTATACTCAAGATCTTTCGGTATTCCTAAACTCGTGTAGTGTAGTTCCTGATTAGACATTTTAGCATGAACCCAATGAAGAATAAAAGAATTTAATATAATAGTTACATTATACTCACCGTTTCTTCCGCATTTCGAAAGTTACAGTTTGAAGGAAATTTTGTTATAAGTAGGACAGCTACACAGAGGCTTCTCATATTGACCAACAACCCTTTCCTCCAAGCCTCAGAATGAGAATGCAACGTATAGTTTAATACATACTACCATCTGTGTAGAATGATAGTCTACTGGGCGTTGGAGTAAGAAAGTGATATATTTTGCAATTAGGGATTGATGTTGAATATTAAACAAATGATGAGTGCAATAGGAAGAATATTTTCATGAGTTAAATGGAACAGTCAATCTTTCAACTTATGAAAATATTCTTTCCATTTGCGCCAATAGAAACATACATTATTAGTTTTATAACACACCTTGTCATTTGATATTTTATGAAAAAACTACTTTTTTCTGAATGGAAGAGTCCAGTGTCTTTCTATCCATTGAAAAGATTGTATCAGGTTGAGGAGTGCAAATGAGCAAAACGGGTGGAACAAAAAAGTACATGGATGGAAATACAAATGAACAATGGAAGTAAATTTCCATGATGAGTCACGAAATGATGTAAATAACCAATGTCACGTGATACAAACCATCGTCCTAGACTATAAACAAGCGCAAAAACTTGCAATGGACAGAGACAATTGGAAGAAGCTAATCAGTGATAAGTAACAGTATGGGTTGTAAAAACCTGGTCTAAAGACAACTAAAAAAAGAGAGAGAAAGACGTGATACAAAATCCACCATTTAATGTGTGTTATAAAAAATAATATTAATGACACAAAGTTAGTCGATTAAGCTCTAGTCTTAAAGTGGTTATTTCAAATATGTACAAGGTTTGTAAATCTTTTTTTTTATTCGGATATCAATCGATACAATTCCAAAAATGGCAATAAATAGTTTCAGGACATCGGCTGGTTTACATTCCACGCAGGAATAAAAAATGTTACAAACGGAGGTTTAACAAGTGGCTGCTGAAGTTAGGCGAAATTTTGGGCCGACCCTTGTCAGTGTGGTGTTTATGAATGCTGCTACAACATGGGAGAATGATTTTAATGAGCATTCCAAATATTTTAACTACAGATCAAGCCCAGCTCACCTAATTTAGACTTGATTTGCTTGATTTTAGACTTGAACTATTTTTCACTAGTTTTCAATATGCAGTTTTATCTACTCTAATTTTCATAACAAGTAAGTCCCCTGCTTCCTGTTTCAATACGTATGAGTTTACTATTATAGCCTTGTTGTGTTAGATCATTAAAAAGGTAATTGTAATTATTACACTTCTTAAAATGTGCTTTTTTAATGTTTGGTTAGAATGGAGATGTAATTTCCACGATTTCAATAGACTTGTCTTTAACTATCCGGCTTATGACTTGTAATCAATATATTAACTGGAACTCTGCCCCCATCAGTGGAGTAGCCTGGCATATTAGCATATATAGAATCGAAATTTTTTTGTCTCCATAAATCTAATTTTGTCAAAGTGCTATCAGACAAGCGTTTAAAAAATGCTTGAGGGTCTCTTTACAACCACATTTCCTAACAGGTAAGTCCCCTGCTTCCTGTTTCAATACGTATGAGTTTACTATTATAGCCTTGTTGTGTTAGATCATTAAAAAGGTAATTGTAATTATTACACTTCTTAAAATGTGCTTTTTTAATGTTTGGTTCGAATGGAGATGTAATTTCCACGATTTCAATAGACTTGTCTTTAACTATCCGGCTTATGACTCTGCCCCCATCAGTGGAGTAGCCTGGCATATTAGCATATATAGAATCGAAATTTTTTTGTCTCCATAAATCTAATTTTGTCAAAGTGCTATCAGGCAAGCGTTTAAAAAATGCTTGAGGGTCTCTTTACAACCACACATCATGCATCATGGAAAATAAAAGTATATTTGATTTGATTTGATTAGCTCTCTTTCCCCATATATACAAATTTGTTAAGTTTGGGAGGAAGTCTATCAAAGACCGAATGCAGTGGCGTATCTAGGGCATGGGGCGCACGCCCCTCCAAAAATTACCTGTGGCCCTCCCCCAGTCTCCCCTCAAAAATCACGGTCATGTAGTTAAAAATCACCTAAAATCACTTTATTTTGCGAATTAGCACCCCTCAACTGATCATCGAGTCCTCCCACTTCCTGTCTCTTAACTTCACCTTTGCGCCCCTTGAGCACCCCCATTTCAAGACTTCTAGATACGCCTTTCGTAAGACTAAATATATCAGACTTCCGAGTTACATCAAGCTTATTTAGTTTTTATTGTCTTTATTCCTTCAATCTTTTGTATTATCGAAATTTGTTTTATAGAATCACTGTTACTGTTATCGGTCTCTCTTCACGCCGATTCTTTCCCCATTTTAAAGTTTATTGAGTTTTTTGACTTTTTTACACTTCTAGGACATAAATTGTTTTAATGTCTTTTAGTCTGTATTTTAGTGGTTTTTTTTTTAAATAAGTATTTAAATTTTTACCTGATTTAATCATTGTACTTTATGCTTATAATTGGTTTTATATAGGACCCCATTGGAAATAAGTTAAACTTTTTAAAGAAAACTTTCATGGGCTATCATTAAATCATCTTTTGTTGTTATTTATTTGTCCTGTCTTGTGCGAATTTTATCCGTTTTCTAAAATATTGATGATGTGAAATACACTGAACTGAACACTAATTCTAAGGCTGTGTCCTACAAAGTTTTTCATGTAAATTTCTATACGTGGTGTACAGGCCTATATGATCAATAAATGTTAAATAGACTTTATGGAAGAAAAAAATACACAAATTAATCGTGATGTTGGAAAACTATAAGTGAGATACTAACCTGGATAAACTGACTAGTATCGTACATAATTTTCTACATTCAATAATTTCTAACCAACGAATCTTTGATTCAATCAGTTGTTGTAGAGTCAGTTATAAATATGTGAGAGTTTGTTAAGAAGAAAAGAGTGCCAAACATAATAAAAAACTTGTAAATATTTATAGAGAGGCGTAGAGAATTTGTAAGGATTATGAGAAACTTTAAGGACAGCGACGCTGTAACTTCTCCTGTATGTTCCTGTTTTATATCAGATGCTCAACTTTTATTCAGATTTCACAAAAGTCACTCTTAACTCACGGTCCTTAAGAAACTCAGTAGTGTAGTTTCTGTTCAGCATTTTGTTCATCAACCCAATGAAGAAATTCAAATAAAAGTTAGTTAATATTACTATAATAGATACATTATACTCACTGTTTCCGCATTTCCAAATTTGAACCACTCTGTGCGGTATTGACAATATATATTTTTTTAAATTCTTTCAATTTAAAACTTATTCTGACACTAACAAGCATGCTCCTAAATGTTTTCGTGTCATTACGACCTCAGGCAAGTCTTTCAAAATAACCCTCCAAATAAGAATACAACGTGCAGTATAATACATGCTATCAGCTAGGTATCTGGTCACCGATACACCATTAGTAAAATTTGATCAGTCACAATCATCAATGGTTATAATATATCAATAAAAAAGAAGTAAAATAATCTTCTAAATTTTAAGTCTATAAATCTGTTTTAATCCTCTGTAATGAAGACTTATTAATAGTTTTAATTTTCACGCTTAGTAATTTGTAAATTTATACAAAATAAAATAATTATTATTTTTTAAATTTTTTTAGGAAATCAGTTTGTAATGTTGTAAAGTATATATTAAATAACGGAACGAAAAGTAGAGCTTTATCTTGTTAAGAGGCCTAAGAACTAGAGCAACCGATGACTGTTACAATAGTTTGTTATAAAAAACTAAAATTAAAAGACGGCGATTGACTTATAAAGCAATTAGTAGAGCATGCATCGTACACTAAATGGAAAATTATTATACTTAAGTTAGATATAATGCATTCAAAACATTTTTAGGCATTAAATCTAACTTTCGTATAGGCCTAATAATTTTCCTATAGTGTACTATGCGGAGCTCTACTAATTGCTTAATATTCTGTATTCCCTTCTTGTTTATTCGTGTTATGCACTTGACTGTATTATCAACTTGTTCGTCTTTAATTCTGTCAATGTTTTATTCTTTCAGTTTCGTACTTAATTTCTACTTGTATTCACTTGTAGCCTAATGGTAATTATTACCAGCATGTTAGTAATCATTAACACCCTTGATATTCACCGTAACAGCATAATGATATACACTATCTTGACGTTCAATATTACATTCGTATACTACGTGATGTTGATTTTGTGGTGGTATTAGCTTAGCCATAAAATCCATTTTAAACATCCTTCTCCATACGGTGATATATAATAATTGACCAAGCTATTCAGTAAAATTCTAATATTTTTTTTAATAATAATTGTTTGAAGCGTCTCTATTATTTTAGTTCAAGTTCAAGTTTATTTGATTGGTCATATACAGTACCTTAATGAATAAAAATTCATGAAATTTGCTTTCCCGGCATAATAGGGAGGTTTCGCAACCTTACGAAAACGATAACGAAAACGACTACGTCAACATTTTTTTTTAACTTCTAACTTCTAAGCTTATCCCCAATTATTTTTGTCGCAGAGCATTGAGTTTTCAGGGGTTTTTCACGACGATCAGCTACAAAACTCGGAAGTAAAAAACAAATATTTTGAAAATATTTACCAACTTACGGTTCGATTTCAAACCGAGAAAAGCCCATGAATAGGGTTACTGATGAATAAAAGCTGAATTGAATTGAATGCATTATTAACTGTATTTACATTAAAATATGAGAAATTGTAGCCTACTGTATGCTGTTGACAAAAAAGTTCAACATGACTCACAACATTCGTGAGAGCGTCTAGCAACTTTGTTACATAAATTGTTATAATTTTCAAGGCAATTGGCTCGTTGCTTCAATTGAATTTTATCATTTAAAATGGTGCTACATATTATTCGGCTTGGTACGGACGAGATAGATAGGCAAAGCCAATTCAAGTTACTGTACTGTACATAAAATATAATAAAGGAAATAGGAAATGTTTTGGTGTCGATTGTCAATTTCAAAAACAAAGTGTACGTGCTATCGTATTATTAGTATGCCTATGGCTATCAATCTAGGCTAGACAGCCCTATAGGCCTACTAGTAGCAGTAGGGCCTAGGCCTAGAGACTAGCCACATCAAGCGTCGCTAACCTAACTATTTCTGTGTTGTATGCAGTATATAACTAACCGTAAACGACTGCATACACAAAAGAATTATATAATATATTCACACTAGGCATATAACACACTTAAATGCAAAGTAATAACTTCCGACGACTTAATAAATATATTTATTGGCATTTACTTTCGAGATATAATATCATTCGTATTTGTTCAGTGTGTGTGAAACGGGATTTTTATAATCTGCGATAACGAGAACGAAAATGTGACGTATAGCCTATACGACGTAGCCATTTTCGTTATGGTTTTCGTAAGGTTGCAAAGCCTCCCTAATGAACAAAAAATAAAATAAAATGTTTATTATTAACAATTGTTTACAAACAATCATTAATATAATTAACTTTATTTCAATATTCAACTTCATTACCATTTGTAATCAATCCAGTAACATGTAAATGCTCATGTTTATATCCCAGGGAATTCTTTATTGATTTCATTGCTGGAACCATCAGGTTGGACTTGGTAATCTATTTTTCTATTAGTGCGTAACGTCGATTATATATAATATAATAAACGTCATTGAATACTTAACATTTTGTTAGTATTTCTTCTGTTGAGCTAATTACACCACCAGCAACTGTGCGTATTGTTTGTCAGTAAATAAAACGTATGGGGCCTAAATTTACGTCCTACGAAACTCTGATGACGACGCATTAAGGTTTTGACGACTTATGACTTGAACGGCACAATATAGATAATAAACAGACAAACACAAGTGCCTGATTAACAGAAAGGACATCCAATCATTGTTTTTAAAATGATACTGTACATCGTTAATATAAATAAATAATACATTTGTGAAGTGACGAATGCAACTACTTGAACTTTAACCGCCAATATCTGGAAAAAAAGAAAAAATATATAAATATATCATAAGATATAGTAATTTTAGGTTTATAGCATATCTTATTGATTTCTAGATACTGTAAGCCTAAAATTGCAAAATATATAAATTCAAAATTTACACAGAACTGTCCTGTGACCAAAATATAGCCCGATAATTTAAATGCAACCCCCTATAATATTAAATCCAGTTCAACGGGCTTTAATGAAGCCTACTCTAAAAGTAAACTTGTCCCAGCTAGCCCTAGAACCGGATTGGTTGGAAAGCGATTTAGCTGCTAACAGCTAACACGCGTCTGAAACCTGGTGTCTTTTGACGATCATCTGTAGGCTGCATGGATAAAAGTAATGTATACAACATAGGGCACATGTACATAGGCCTAGTTATTATCAATTCCTGCCACAGTAACAATAATGTGTTTACGATCAAAACAACTCCACTCCTAAATTTTATAAGACTGCGGGTATCGTCGATGTATGTAGAGCATCAAGTGTGTATGCTGAATTATGAGGAGATAATATTATCAAGTTTAGTGTTTTCGCCATATTCTCGATCCTTGTGCTAAAAGTTGAATAAAGAACTTAAAATGTATAGTTTTTTAAATTGTATATAAAAAGTTGCAGTATTAGTTTCACCAAGTTCAGTTAGGTAGCAATAGCCAAGTTTTACCTATTTCACAGATAGTCGGCAGCTTTGTGGTGCAGTACTGGTCAACCCATTTTCCATTGGGTTTTAGTGAAAGACAAGATTCGCCTTTGGTGTATTTCCTTGGTTGTGAGCTATCCCAATCTGAAATGGAACAAAATTCTTGGATTCATACTTCAAATTCCAAAACCTATGGACATCCTGAAAACCACCCGTAGGCCTACTTGCTTGCAACTTCAGTTCTTTTCTGGACAGTACTACTTGCTTGCTAGTAAAGGCAGTTGAACCTGTACAGATTCAAAGTTCCCGTCCAGACTGTTGGATGATTTGAGAGGATCGCCACCCCTCCTTACTACGATTCTATTTATACCCTTCAAGCATATGCCTGTGCTAGAGAGAGAAAACGCAGAGAGGGTGTCTTACCTAAGGGCACAAGCGACATGCTCAGGAAAGGCCTAAACCACTGACCACAAGGTTGAGAGTCCGAGTTTCATTTGCTGCGCTAACACTACTTTCCACGCAAAGCGACCATTTTAGCAACCTAACTGTAAATACTATACCTAATTTCCTAAACTTGTTTCTGGATGGATCCCTCCAGAAGCTAAATAGCCTCATGTATACGCCTAAGACAATTGCACAGCAACATTTTAAATTCAATGTGGTCGGTCAGTCGGGATTGTATTTTTAACTTTGCATTGTGATAAACTATTACCATTTGGGCTAAAATCCGTATTTAATTTTCGTTTGATTTGATTTGTTAAATGTACATGTTCATAAAGAACATGTACAAAGATTTAAAAGTTGGACATCAAAATACGAAACAGCATAAAATACAATAACCTTAAATTACTTTTAAAAGATATAGCATGAAATAAATATAAAAATATAAAAGTTCAGAGTATATTAAAATTCATCAACGGCAAAAAAGTTTTCAGTTTCTTATTTCCAATGGGATCCAAACACGGGGGAGAAAAGCAAGACAAAGTCATGTTTTTAAATATTATCTTAAAGCTTGGAAAAGGTAAAGATTTTAAGTCAATCGTGGTTGGGTAACACCACACCTTTTGCCTAGTTTCCATAGTTCACACAGCCTAGACGATCTTGAATTGTGCTTTTAGATTCTGCATATTGGTTGAGAAGATTTTTAATCTACTCACTTTGGAAGTCTTCCATCCCTTGTCCATTTTCCCATTTCCAGCCACTGTCTGACCCATAGTGTAGACCAGCATACACTTTGTTTTTCCCCATGAGACTCTGAAAGTTAGCTGACAAAAAATCATTCTCTTCCTGACTACGGATGTCAATCAAGGACCCTCCAGTCTCTTGACAAATGGAAACATGAACGTTAAACGTCCTCTTTTTTGGGATGTATATGTAACAACTGTCGAGGAATCCAACCTCACATACTGAAAGTAAATATACAATATGACAGTGAAGCCTAAAAAAACATAAACCACTAAAAGCCTTCAAAGCTGGGAGTGGGAGGAGTTATGCAGATATGTTTTGTGATATACTGATAATTGATACAGAATCGAAACACACCTGGGGCTGTTCGCAACTACTTTAAGCGCTGTGAGACTCCGGTAAAGAGCGATATATAAATGCTTGAATAATATTTATTATTATTATTATTATTATTATTATTATATCAAAAAAAAAATAATGTGCCGATTTTATAAATATGGTGTTTTTGTGTGGAACAATGTATAAGTATGTGAGTAGTGTTATGTGTTCTTTTAGCAGAGAAGCGTATACATCATTCGAGTCTTTCAAAACCCTGCTAAAAACTTTTCTGTTCAACAACGCTGAATATGCATGATATGTTTTCCCTCAATTCATCTGTGTTGGTGATGCATGTGCTATCGTTTGTGGAGTGTCCACAGCGGGCCCCACCTCGAGACAACGTCTTTTTGTCTTTTGCAGTGCACGGTAGTAGAGCCGAGGACATATTCTGAGGTGAAAGCTACCGGAGCCCAGCATACTGCCTAACGGAGTACCTGTGTGCACCCGGGTGTGACAGCGACGTTGCTTTCGACATCGGTGAGGGGGGAGCTCTGTTCTGGATACTTATACCGATAATGCAAATGCTTCAGTTTAAGTACCGTAGTTAAAGTCAAATGTATTTACTGCTTGTTTTCTTTTTGTAATGCACATTGAGGCTTTTTGCGGAATGCGCTATAGAAGTATGGAATTATTATTATTATTTGTCTTCATAAACAAATGTTGAAAATATTAAGAACGCCAGGTCGGTGGAGTGGTTTTGTTTTAAATTCAGATAGGCCAATTTACCTTTTAGCTTTACTTGAAAGGAGCAAGACGCCGTTAGTATACTTTGTTTCAGTATTGCGTTGCAGGTGACAACAGTGGTACCAAGTGGGAAAACTGTTCCTGACGGAGAACTGCAAGCAACTGTTGCCTGTCGATGATTAGGATCATTAAGTATTGGTGCACTGTAAGTAATACTCTTTCCTGAGGTACCTTGTTTGATGTGCAAGTCGATGTCACTTGGACAGGTTAACCACAAAGGGTATAACTCTATAAAATTACAATTAACAGTAATGAGTATGTAGGCATAATATACATTTACGAAGTTTCTGACCATTAGAACAATATTGTGCACTTAATACGTCAGCTTATGTTGAAGTAATGACATAGCCTACCCAGTTCACATATAGCTTTGGTCCTGGCATCGCAGCTGATATCTCTCCATTGACCAGTTGTTTTCATGGCAACGCAGTCTTCACCAGGATCTAAGTTGTTAGGTTCACCTGATGCCCAATCTTTTCCCAAAAAAAAAAAAATTATTATTTTACATACGCTCATATTACCGAACGTGAAGAGAGAAACAGTGGATAAACGTGAGTCAGTAATATAATATGTTTATACTAGTATTATTTTATTATCCATTCATTAGTTTATAATTTCAAGTAAGTTGTATATCTACAAATAGTAACAGAAATACTATGTATTGTTATTCTTTCAAATAGTTATTACGTATTCATGGCACGATTTAAACGTCCACATATGTCACACATTTATTCTGATACACGTGTTGATGATGCGTCACATTTTCCTCCAAATAAAGTAATGAACCCACCTTGAAATTCATTTTGTAAGAGCGAACCATCAATCCATCTCCACGAGTTCTCCACATCGATGTCGTTCAAACCGATTAAAACATAAGTACCTAGCATTTCAATCTGGAGATCAAGGATGTGGTCTCTCTCAGCTTGTGTTTCTATAGATACCAGGTCAGCATTCTTCGTCAAACAGAGGTCACGTGACGCTTCAAACTTTTGTTTAGAATTGATGAGGAAGTAACAACTCTTTTCGAAAGCGGTTTCGCAATCTAAAAAATGCAAAAGTTATTTTCTAACATTCAGTCGTTCACTGACAATGAAATCTATCATGTATGGTGTAGACATGCGATGTAGGCCTATGTGAGTAACGTTAGTATAATGTGCAATTTTATTATCGTGACTTACCAATAATATTTACGTTGAATAAACATGCAGCTTGCTCGGAGTGGTTATACATTGCTCTACACCTAACAGACGTCACACCTGCTAGGAACTCTGAACCTGCACTCGGTTCACAGATCACTTGCATGTCGCGGTTATTCGGATCAATTACTTCTGGTTTGTCCCACGAGGCAGTTGCACCGTTTACCTTAGGGTTTGTATACTCTATAATATCACTTGGACATTCCATGAACGCGTACGTAGTACCTAACAAAATTTAAAATATAGCAATAAGAGAAAATCGTGGAACTGCGAGAAAACACGTACTTGTAAGATGGAATGCTTTATTCAATATAGAAAAAAAGTAAGTGTACTAAAAACTATTTACTTGTTTCACAAATGGATGTCAATTCTCTTGAACAATAGTTGTCACTCCATGTGCCATCACTAAGAATCAATCCACAATCTTGGTTGTTTTTGTTGTCAGGTTCTCCAGATTTCCAATCTATGAAGAAAACATTATCATATTTTTTGTATGAGTACAGTAAGATACACACTGTTTAGACCCACCCCTCTTAGACTTGCCTTAATAATCAGCCTATGGTTTGGTTTGTTGAAGTAATAATTTTGGTCCATCACTATATTGTGTTGTGATGAATTACTACCAAGTGTATAGCCTAGTAAATTACATGCCTTCATATCCAAAAACTGTTCTTAACCAAATCTTACCAACATTAAAATTAAAACATACTTGTAAAATAGTCACCAACACGATCTCCGTTGACCCAGACCCATTCTCCTTCAATTTCAATGTCATCCATTCCAATAAATGCTGGACCTACTTCTGGAATCTCAGCCATTTTTGAAGTAATATAAACGTTTTCCTCAAGTGACTCGATTACAAGAAGATCAGCTCCGATCTCCTGACACGCGTCTCTTGATTTAAGAAATTTCCTTTGCACGTTCATGAAGACATAACAGTTTGTACCTAGTCTATTATTGCAAGCTGAGCATATGTTTGAAACAAGAAAATAATATATCATTTGAGTATGTACACATCAGTTACTATTTTAATTGTTATTGTAGCTGCTTATAGCAATTGTATACAGTTATAGGCCTACCTTTATTACCCCCCCCCCCAAAAAAAAAAAACATTTATTCACGCTCCGTGATTTTTATAAAAAATATACCTGTCACTGTAACTAAAAAATTACAAGACACAGCAAGTCCATCTCCAGCTCTTGCTACACATGTGACATTGCTGTCACCCAACTGGAATTTAGAATCCGACTTAGGTTCGCAGATAACATCAAATGCTCTCCCAATGACATCATCTACCACCGGACTTTCCCAAACGACGTTTGCAGTCGAGGTGCCTTCCCTGGCAAAGGCAGTGGCTCTTAATGGACACGTCACTGTAGGCATTGGCGCAACTGTTATAGTAAATTGTATGTTGTAAGTATTCTTCTAGTAAATTTATATTTGTCTGACACAATTTTAGTGATAGCCTACAAGAGATTTTCTCGTTTTCTATGATATTTATCAGTCACATAAGCGAAGACACGCTTTCATCTGTTTTCCATTTAGAAGTACATTGTGTTTGTCATTTCAATTAAATTAAACAACTGCTGACGAAGTTACTCACCTTCTAACGTGATAGAAAAGGAACAAGAAGCTGTTAGTATACTTTGTTCGGGGACACCGCTACACATGACAACTGTGGTACCAAGTGGAAATACTGTCCCTGACTGTCTGCTACATGTTATTGTCGCCTGTCTCTGATTATCGGGATCAATAAGTTGTGGGGCCTCGTAGGTGGCAATACCTCCTGATGCACTCTGGCTGATCGGCAAAATTATGTCATCTGGACAAGACAATCGCAATTTGGGAATCTCTGTTGGCAGTAAAGTACATTTGTTTTTATATTAGGTGTTCGTTTTATGATGTTGCTCCGTTTAGCGTGTCTATCATATTTTTAGAATATATAATGTTGACGATTTACATTTTCATATAATTTATAATAAATAACAGTTAAATGTAGGATACCCTATCTCAAATTATTGTTCTGACAACAATACTTCAGGTTATCATAATGGTGTTTAATAGTATTTGGATAACGATCAACTAAGTAGACATAAACAAAGTACGGCGGTGGCAGATCTACACGTACCTAGCTCACATATTGCTCTGGTGATTGCATCACATCTTACATCTCTCCATTGTCCACTGGTTTTCATGATGACACAGTCTTCACCGGGGTCTAAGTTGTTTGGTTCACCAGATGCCCAATCTGTCAATAAAATGGGAAAAAAAGTCTTATTATAACATATTGAGGCAAAACAACGTAATAATAACGATCCTCTGGGGCGGATGGAGAGGAGGTGCGTATGTTAATTTCAAGCATACAGCGTTGGAAGTGGAAAAAGAATTTAAAAAAAAATAATACCGAGAAATTGAGAAAATGCCTAATAAGCGTATAATACTGTATTAATTGGCAGGTAAAATGTAAAGTTTCCAGGACCGTATATCCAGTAGGTGGGGTGTGTATAACGCACCCAACCAAATTTGATAAGGTCTACCAAGACAGTCGAGAATGTACTGAATATAAATTTGTGATTTTCTGTAATTTAAAAGTAAAATCTTAAAGTTTTACATTTTAATCAATAGGCCTAATCTACTCAGTCTGTCGTGATTCGGAAAACCGCAATTCATTCAGTTTTCAAATAATGCTTAGGGGCACCCTGTGGATGTAATCTATCATGGAACGTAATCATATACTCCAAACAATTTTTCGAAATATGAAATTATTATGAGAGTTACGCATTATATCCGACCGTTCAACCACTAAGCATTGAAATGTTGGCAATCAACCAATCACAGAAGACATTTATGCAAATTTAATTACTTTCCCAGCTGGTGGTGGTACAATAAAAATTCATTATTATTTTTCCTAAAGTTACAACTTAAAAGTTGTGGTCATAATTATTAACAAGTATTAGGTTAATCTTTTCACGTCGGTGCGTGCACTGAAAACGTATTTTTTCTGACACAAAAATTAGATTTAACATGTATATAATGATTTTGATAAACAATCACAATTCTCTGTACAATCTATTAAATATTGAAAGAATGGACTTCCTTATGTTGTGGTCATATTAGACTGTAATATATTTTAAAGAAGACCATTTAACGAACAACATGTACTGAATGTATTGATTATATAACTTGTAGATAATTACTGTTGTCCGATTGTGTGCATTGAAAATGTGACGATGAACTCGGGATACGGGCCTTTTTTACATTCAGTGTGTATTCATCCATCAATAGAAGTCTCCTTAAGCCGGCGCGAATTGAAAGCGTCGGTTCATGCACATGCGCATTCACATTCTTATCGGAGTTTTTGCGAAGGGAAAAAATGCGCAATCAATCAGAGCTCATGAATTTTACCGACGCTTTGATTCGATCGAATAAATTCGCCTTGTGGAAAACCAGCTTAATGCACGTAAGTGCATTTCTCAACATCTAGAAAAAACAAAACTTTCCGGAGCTAGAAGAACCCCAAGACTACCGCAAACCACCCCCGCCCCACGTCTAAAATAGTCTTCCGGCGACGGAACAAGCAAACGTACGTTCTCTTCCCATGGCCCCATCTACTCAGAACCCCATTATGTGCGATAGTTATGGTAAAGCTCGGTTTCCATATAATCGCTCACCCTATCGCCGACAGTTGTCGAGAAGGTTGAACCTGGTTCAACTTTTCCGATTGCGTTGCAGACGCAGACCAATTAGGGTGCATTGCTAGCTTCTCTGCGCAATCGGGAAGGCACACCGATTCGTCTGTGAAACACACCTGCCACGACTGTCGCCGATAGGGCGCAGTGAGGTGGACCCTCACGCACCCCCCCCCCCTACCGCCAAATCCTGCATCCGCCCGAGATCCTAAAACAAGGTTAGTGCCAGTCTACAGCAATGCCAATGTGTGGTAAAACCAGTTTATAGGCCTACTCAAAAGTGACTCAATGCTGTGGAACTAACAAGCAATTTAAACATCCTTAATTTTAATTAATAAAAACACTAACCTTGGAAGTCATCTCGTTGTAATGTCGCACCATCAGTCCACTTCCACGAGTTCTCCACATCGATGTCATTCAGACCAATTAAAGCAGATGTACGAAATAGATCATTTTGTAGGGCCAGGAGGTAATCTCTTTCTGCCTGCGTTTCTATAGAGACCAATTCTGCATTTTGTGCCACACACATATCACGAGAGTCTTTGAAAACTTGCTTAGATGTAATGAACTTGTAGCAACTTGTTTTAAACGCTGTGTCGCAAACTGAAATACCGATATTGTGAGATAAGTAAGACATTTTTCTATGGTCATGTAGTTTTTAAATACATTTGTATGACTCACCGACGACGTTCACATCGAACGAACATGTAGCTTGCTCTGATATGTCGTAGATTGCTCTGCACGTGACCGTTGTCAAACCAATTAGGAGTTCCGAGCCAGCACTTGGTTCGCAAATCACTTGCATTTCGCGATCATTCGGATCAGTAACATTCGGTGTTTCCCATGATGCAGCAGCACCGGTTACCCATTGACCTACATGAACTACAACGTCACCTGGACATTCCATGGAGGCGTATGTAGTATCTAGGAAAGGTGAAATAATGTAAGTTTGCAGTTTATTAAAAGGAGATATGAAAATTACAATGATATTGTCTCAAATCATAATACAGTCTCCAATCTGTATGTTTTTTCAAAAATAATTTAAAAAAAAGAATATACAATATTCCTTTGTTATTAATAATAAGGAACATTACATTTCTGCTATATGGTGGTGATGTATACAATATGTTTATGAACTGTATAGATTAACAAAACAAATTCTCCCTTTATAAAATTTACACTTTTCATTTGTATACACAGCAGAACATTCAGATGGTGTTATATATCGTCCTGTCACCTTTTCTGTTTTGTCTTAATTTCCCTTCCATGTCCCATTTTTACTTTGTTGACATTACATTTCTGCTATACGGTGGTGATATGTATAAAATATGTTTATGAGCTTACAGATTAATAAAACGAATTCTCTCTTTCTAATTTGACAAATTTACACTTACACTCATAAGGGTGGGTAGGTCAGTGTATCTGCTTTAATATAATTGTTTTGATTAATGTGAATTTTTAATGTTACATAATATACTTGTATATTGCTAATGATTGTCAACACATTGTCAGGCTTTGCCTTTGTTGTATTTCCTCCATCTTAAAAAAAATTGATGTTTTTATTCATGATCGAAAATAAAAATTGATTGTTTGATTAATTGAAAAGAAATAATTAACTTTTTTTTGTATTGTCAAAATGTTGATGTTTTTGCAAAATAAAGTGTTTTTATACCTATTCTCTTAGACCGGTTTTTTTTTCAATTTGAGTTCCAAATTTTAACTTATATTTAAGTTGCAAATGAGTTTCTGTGTTTTTAATGGACAATAGGTTATCTTGAATCTTGAATGTTGGAAACTTATCAGGACCTGTTTCCATGATATGCCTATATAAAAGTCATGTGAACTAATGGTATTTAGTCAACTTTGGTCACTTACTTGATTCACAGATCGACACAAGTTTTCTACTGCAGTAAGTATCTCCCCATTGACCATCGACAGTAATTACCCCGCAGTTTTGATCATTTGAGTTTGCTGGTTCTCCATCCTTCCAATCTATATAAATAATGATTATAACAAATTGATGAAGTCACATGACCTTTTTTTTTACAAGAATAAATACATAAATGATTTATACTAATTAACATTGACTTTTATGGTGGTAATATATAGAAAATTAATTACTTGTAAAACTGTTTCCGACACGGTCGCCATTGACCCACACCCAATCCCCTTCAACTTTAGCGTCAGCTATCCCCAAAAATATTAATGTTGTGTCTGGAAATTCTTCAGCGATTCTAGCCGTGATAAACGAGTTTTCTTGGAGTGAGTCGATCATTAAAAGGTCAGCCCCGATCTCCTGACATGCTGCTCTTGATTCAGGAAAATTTCTTTGCACGTTTATAAAGACGTAACAGTTAGACTGCAGTCTATTATCACAAGCTAAATGACATAAAGAAGACGTGTTAGAAAATAGATGTGGCATTTGCATTAGGCCTACATTTACTAATGATGTCATATATTACAGGCCGCATTAGTTCACGTACGGCACTGACACACATTTGTTTGTGTACAATGCACACTGTTTTGAATATTTCTATTGCCTTTGATTTATTCAAGCCTAGGTGATCTGCAGATATGGTAATTTATTTCTTACATTTTACGATTTAGGCCTACCGTACCTGTTACTATAGCTGGAAAAATACATGAAAGAGCAACACCATCTTCAGCTGTTGCCACACACGTGACATTGGTAATACCCAATGGGAATTGTGAATGGATTTCACGATCACAGACGATATCAAATGTTCTTCCAATGAAATCATCTACTACAGGGCTGTCCCAGACCATCTCAGCAGACGTGGTTCCTTCCATGGCGAAAGCAGTGGCTCTTGTAGGACACCTGAATACAGGAATGTCCACTACGTGCAGAAAATATGATACGTCGTAATTCGTCAGTAAAGTAAATACTTCCTGCTCACACCAATGCATGTTTAATTTTATCTTTAAGTGTTGTAAACAGATGTATATGAAATGGTGGAATTAATTCACTACGTAACTTTTAACAAATCCAATAATTCATTGCTTGGTCAGTAGGCTTAATGTGAACTGAACTTGAATAAATTGTTGTAATGATTGTAGAAAAGCTTACCCTCTAACGTCACTGAGAAAGAGCAATGCGCCGTTAGTTTACTTTGATCTGGGACAGCTCTGCATGTAACATTTGTGACACCACTTTCAAAGGCAGTTCCTGATGAGGGACTACATGCTATTGTCGCCTCCCGCTGTTTGACATCTATTAATTGTGGAGCACCGTAATGCACGATCTTACCAGATGCCATTTCGCTGACTTTTACCGTGATATCAGCCGGACATAATAATTGCAAATTGGACATTTCTGAAAATTGTTTTAAAATATTTTAATTTAGATTGGATGAATAGCTGATGATATTTCAACAAAGTACGGTAATGATGAAGATACACATACCTAGCTCACATATTACTCTGGTGATTGCATCGCATCTTACATCTCTCCATTGTCCACTGGTTTTCATGATGACGCAGTCTTCACCGGGGTCTAAGTTGTTTGGTTCACCAGATGCCCAATCTGTCATTGAAATAGGAAATTTGTTCTAATTTTAAATACTATTAATCAATTAAAAAGAAAAAATAATTTAATACGATCCAGCAAGACTATAGAAAAGTGTGAAGCAAAACAATGTACTGTAAGACCAATGCAAGTCTTTTGGTTCTTAATTCAAATTATTGAAAACGCAAACCTTGGAAGTCATCTGGTTGTAATGTTGAACCATCAGTCCACTTCCACGAATTCTCTACATCTCTGTCGTTCAGACCAATTAAAGCAGATGTACGAAATAGCTCATTCTGTAGGACAAGAAGGTAATCTCTTTCTGCCTGCGTTTCTATAGAGACTAAGTCGGCATTCTGTGCCACACACAGATCACGTGAGTCTTCGAAACTTTGCTTAGATGTGATAAACTTGTAGCAACTACTTTTAAACGCTGTGTCACAAACTGAAATGTCAATCATAAAACAAAGTGTTTAGAAATTTAGATTCTTAAGAAATTAAAGCTATATTCCCAGACCATTTTCATAATTTATTTTTTTTAATTTTTTTTATTTAAAACATTTATTCTGAATACATATTCAATGGAAGTAAATGTACAAATTAAATTGACAAAGCATAATAAAATTAATCTATCATGGTCATGATTAAAACAACAATTAAATATTAATGAAAGATAAAAAATGCCTTCATATTATGAGTTGAATAAGACATTCTTTTATTTTCACGTACTTATTGAATAAGTTTGTATGACTTACCAACGACGTTCACATCGAACGAACATGTAGCTTGCTCTGATTCATCGTACAATGCTCTACACGTTACCTTCGTCGAACCAATTAGGAACTCGGAGCCAGAACTTGGGTAACAAATTACTTGCATTTCGCGATTATTTGGATCAGTAACATTCGGTGTGTCCCATGATGCAATAGCACCGGTCACCCATTGATCTATATGAACTACAACGTCGCCTAAACATTCCATAAAAGCGTATGTAGTACCTAGCACGGAGGTGAATTATAAATAAAAAGTATAGAATAAATGTAGTAAGTGTGGTTACACCTCTGATAAAGGTAAAATGCTATTTTATTCTAATGTTGGAGAAAAAACAATCATTTGATTAGAATGATGTTACTTTTTATAATTCTTTACAAGAAAATATAGACAGATTTCCTTAAAAAAAAAAGATTACTTTACAAAAAATGCACTTCACTACAATAGAGATATATTTGGGCAAAACTGAGCCGAAGGATTCAGATAACGATAACTCAACATCTTCGCATGCGCAGATAACTCTACATGACGTCATTATGTTTTCGATCGTGCAGTCGAAAGCTCCCAACCAAATAACTTGTGTAATGCAATAGTTTCAGTCATAAAGATAATATATATATATATATATATATATACAGTAAATGTCATCTTCATTATTCATTTAGTTATTACCGAACCAAGTTATTAGGATCACTTACTTTTCTCACAGATAGACGACAATTCTCGGTGGCACCAGTTGTCACTCCATTGGCCGTCATCATGGATCAACCCACAATCTTGATTATTTACGTTGTCTGGTTGTCCATCTTTCCAGTCTGTCAATAATATATTGTGGTAATGTTTAAATACTATGATTTCTTACTGTAGTTAATTCAATTTCAAAACGATTTTCAATTTTCATATACTTTAAAATAACAGGTAATTTACTTTCATATTCGTCGCCGACAGGATTTCCGTTGACCCAAAACCAATTTCCCTCAGATTCTATGTCATCCATCCCGATGTATACCAAAGGAATTTCCGGAAACTCGATGGCTATTCTAGTCGTGATGTACGAGTTTTCTTTGAGAGATTCGATCACCACAAGATCTGCTCCGATCTCTTGACATGCTGCTCTTGATTCAAGAAATCCCCTCTCCACTTTCATGAAAACGTAACAGTTCGAGTCTAATCTATTTTCACATGCTAAATTACAGAAGGGGATATTTGAAAAAAAAAATAAGAAAATGTGATAATGAAATCGACACAATCCTTCCTTTTTACTACACTCCGGTGTACGTATATCACGCCAAAGTCACATGTAAACCATGTATTCACAAGTCGAATTACTATAATGGTGGACACTTATATTACATGTTTCTTCATATAGTATATAGACTTCATGCAGAGACTACTTCATCACCACAGGTGAGCACTCTGTAATGTCATTCCTATACACTATATTTTACCTGTCACTGTGACTGGAAAACTGCAAGACGCCGACACTCCGTCTTCTGCTGTTGCTACGCACAAAACATCGCTCTCACCCAATGGGAATTGTGAATACACCTCATGATTGCAAACGATATCGAATGTTCTACTAATAACATCATTTATTTCTGGGCTTTCCCAAGAAACTTCTGCAGACGATGTCCCTTCTCTGGCGAAAGCTGCGGCTCTTAAAGGACACGTCATTGTAGGAGGGTCAGCAACTGTAATATGGATAGGCAGCTTATAATGATATACACATTTTCATTCATACAAAAGTGTACGATGCATTCTATTTAACAATGGTAAAAAAACACAGGTACAAACTCCAAGAAGCATCCATTTATGGACAAGCGTATATCTGTTACTAACTTCTGTTTAGCTATTAACATAATACAAACTTACAGACCATACATAATTTTCATATAAAAATACATAAATAATGGGAACATCGAAAATGATTTACACATTAAAGACTTATTACATTAAAGACTTAATTTGTTTTCGGCACTTTTATTTTATTCATTTCGCAAAATACAAAAATCTAGACAGACAACAGGACACAAAAGCCGAGGAGAAGGATAAAAACGCTGTCACCAGTAAGGTGTACTTCTCCAGAACCTAAAACTCACCTTCTACTGTTACAAAGAACGAACAGGTTGCAGTAAGTATACTTTGGTATGGTGTTCCTATACACGTGACTTCAGTTGTGCCAAGTTTAAACACCGATCCTGACGGAAAGTTACACGTTATATGTACTTGACGCTGATCAGGATCAATCAGTTTTGGAACACTGTAATTGACAATCCCTTCAGATGCACTTGGGCTTATTGGGGAAATGGTGTCATTTGGACACAACAACCGCAATGGGTAAATCTCTATAGATCATAAACCAATAAAATCATCATCATTATTACTACAATCATTATAATCCAGGCTATTATTATTCGACCTAAATTATTAATATTAATATCATCAGTATATTTGTATTATTATTATTATTATTATTATTATTATTATTATTATTATTATTATTATTATTATTAATTCTTATTAATAATAGGCCTAATACTTATTATTAATAGTCCGCTAAACTAGGGGAGCAATTGTCTGTGCTCTGAAATGTGGAGGTCTCTAGGTCCCGGTTCAATTCCCATAGCTGCTCTTCTTGTGTTTCAGCTGGAGGGTTGAAATGCATGTTTCAATATCGCACCGTATTTCGGATGAGACGTTTTAGCCGTTGGTCTTGTGTGGCCCATATGCAAGTTTAAAAAACGCAGTACACTCTTTGGAGAAGAGTAAGGGATTGTCTCCCAGTGTACTGCTCAATCACCACCAGAAGGGACCCACTGAAAATATGTCTTCTTCGTACATTGTTATCCTTAGTGTTTACACCGAATAAATTCAATTCAATAAATCCCATAATAATGCAAATATAAATAATTATAATAATACTATGCCATTGACGAACTTATCATGACGTCAAAGACTTAACATACCCATTTCACATATTGCTCTCGTCTTTGCGTCACACCTTACATCTCTCCACTGACCACTTGTTTTCATGATGACGCAGTCTTCACCAGGATCTAAATTATTTGGTTCGCCTGATGCCCAGTCTGTCATTAAAATAAATTTATATTGCGTTTTAGAAGGTAACGTTTATATATGTATGGAGCGCCACATTCAATGTATACTATGGAGCAAGCTTAAAACTAATATTATTCATTATTGTAAGAATGTTTGTTAAAAACAAGAAATCAATTCATCATCAACATTTATCATAACAATGCAAACCCAAACTCTTATTGGTAATTGTTATACACACATATCACAAAGGCAAACTGAATGTAACGCACAAAGATACAAATAAAAGAATGATGTGATACCTTTAAATCCATCTTGTAATAGCGAACCATCTATCCACCTCCAAGTGGTTTCCTCGTCGATGTCGTTTAGACCGATTAATACAGATGTACGAAATAGCTCATTCTGAAGGTCAAGAAGGTAGTCTCTCTCTGCCTGCGTTTCTATGGAGACTAACTTGGCATTCTCTTTAATGCACATATTACGTGAATCCTCGAAGATTTGCTTAGAGCTTATAAACACATAGCAACTCGTCTCAAAAGTTGTGTCGCAGACTAAAATTAGAAATCAACATCTTTATGAGCTTTCGTTCTGTCTCTTATACACATCTAGATGTGTATAAGAGACAGATATATTAGTGACATTTTATTTTATCAAACTAAAATTTCAAGTATAATCATTAAAAGACAGGGTAAATATTTAAAAAGCAAGCATATGTTTCAACTTCAAATAACTTACTTCAAACAAATACACTGTCAGAATAGAAAACATTTAGATAACGTTTCAATGACTCACTAATAACGTTCACACTGAACGAGCATCTGGCTTGCTCTGATTGCTCATACATTGCCTTACACGTCACAGATGTCACACCAGCTAAGAACTCCGAACCAGAACTCGGTTCACATATTACTTGCATTTTGCGATTATTCGGATCAGTAAAATCCGGTGTATCCCATGTTGCAGTAGCACCCGACACAAGTCGGTCTATATAAACTACAACTTCGGCTGGGCAATCTATGAACGCATGTTTAGTGCCTAGCAACGACAAAAATAATTTGTGCTTATTTATATGATGAAGAACAGTGGTGACATACTGTACATACAATGTTTATTGAATGCCAATCAATCAACCATTAAATATATCAATCAACCAAAATGTTTACATTTAGACTGACTATACATAATATCAGTTTATTAAAAGACATAAATCTACTTTAGGCAAAAATCTACAATAATGTCCTAAGTTTATGCATTATTCTGGATTATTTAATAACAGAAACGTAAAATAAAATATAAACAATTAAATGTTAAACTGAAATTTCATTAAATTTGTTGATAAAATAATATAAACGATAAACAGTAAATTGCTCAGTTGTCAGCAACAGGACGTAAATGTAAGTTTATATACTGCACATACAAATTTGTGAATCCTAGTTAATGAGACCTGTTTAGAATTGTATTGGTTTTCTTTCTTAAGTATCAGTGTTGCTGGACTATTCCAAGTCGTTCTAATTGAACTCCTAGAAGTGTAACAATTTTAGAAATTATTAGTTTGATCGATATCTGGGATCACTTTGTGACCAAAGCAAATACACACGCACGACCAGCATTAATGTCATCGGTCTACTGTACAATTCCGACATTGATGCGTTTAGCGTTTAAATTTAAGTGCCGTCTCGTAATTTGTTGAAGATACTCAAAATATAATGATTGATAAGAATGTCTGTTTGTATACAATCAGGAAAGGTGAGCCAACTAATGAGATTAATCCCACTATAGATGATCTGAGCGTTTGGCTGAAATGTATTAACGTTCCTGCTTCTTGTGCTAAGGACCCTTGTTTAAACCCGGCCTGCGTCAGATTTTAACTAGGATCAGATCGCTCCTCGAACCCTCACATGAGAGCTATGCGGGATAAGGGGAAATATATCCATTACATGTCGGTAGGCCTACTGGCGCTGCACTGGGGGCTGACGCGGGTCCCCAGGGAAAAATGCCAATTTCGAATATTTGGAACTGGACGGGAAAAAAAATTAATTAAATGATTATATTTATTTATTTTTGCTTTGTAGTAGTTACGGCCACTTACTTGCTTCGCAGATGGAATTAAGTTTTTTTGAACATATATTATCACGCCACTCGCCATTGCTAAATATTAATCCACAGTCTTGGTTGTTCAAGTTGTCTGGTTCTCCATCTTTCCAATCTGAAAATGGTTTAAATCATTTACAACAAAAGTCTTTTACCGGATTAAATATTGGCTGGCTCGGCTCCCGTGCATTCAAGTTAGTGAGGAATTGTCTAACATACATATAAAACACAGCACAGAATCTCGATTAAAATGTTTCCCTCTTGTACAATATTTCCAAACTATTCACAATTATTCTTCAACATCTTTATGAGCTTTCGTTTAAAAAACAATTGGGACACTTACACGTAAACGAGTTAACGACACGGTCTCCGTTTACCCACACCCAATCGCCCTCAACATTGATGTCATTCATTCCAATGAATGCTGCTCCCACTCCAGGTAACTCAACGGCCATTTTCGAGCTAATGTAATAATTTTCCTCAATTGAATCAATTACCACAAGGTCAGATCCGATCTCCTGACATGCCGTTCTTGATTCAGAAAAAGTCCTTTTGACATCCATGAAGACGTAACAATTTGAATTTAACCTGTTATCACACGCTTGATAATGTAAACACAAGAATAGGTTAAGTACAGAAATAACGGAAATATTTAAATTGTGTATTCGCACTGCATTCTAATATTGCTATATACGAAATAAGCATCAGCATCTTTGTATAAAATATTTTGTCTTATTGTAATTACCATCAGGTCTGTAATGAATCAATTAAATATGGCATATCGTAAATGAGCATGAAATAGGGTTTGGTATGAAATTAAATTTAGAAAGTTATTTTACCTGTCACAATAACCAAAAAACTACAAGAGCTTGTCACTCCATCGTCAGCTGTTGCTACACACGTGACATTAGTAGTACCTAATGGAAATTGTGAATTCATCTTAGGATCGCAGACTACTTCAAATGTTCTTTCGATAGTATCTTTTACAACTGGATTTTCCCAAAAGACATCAGCAGACGATGTACCTTCCCTAGCGAAAACAGTAACTTTTGGAGGACACGTGACAGTCGGAGGTGGAGCAGCTGAAGTCAAAAATTGTCATGTTAAAGCCATATTAACTTATGTCGAAAATACTGTTTTGAAGGAACCTTTTAAAGATAGACAAGGAAGGGCTACAGTTTACATATAGGGTTGCAATGTAGATACGTACCTTCTATTGTAATTACGTAAGAACACGACGCCGTTATTATACTTTCTTTCAGAACGACAGTACATGTGATATTGAAGGTACCAAATGTTGATGGACTTTCTGGCGAGGACGTGCATTTAGTAACTGCTTCTCGTTGTTGTGGATCAATTAACTGTGGTAAACTGGCAATGACATCGTTTCTTGACGCACGTGGACTAAGTTGTAAGTTGATGTCTTTTGGACATATTAACCGCAATGGAGAAATCCCTGTGATTTAAAATATCGTTTTTAATCATCTAAAAACTCCCAACAGCTACGTTAGGCAAAAAATGAAAATATAACAAATGATAATAAATCTGAAATTATAAGATTTAAAAAATAAAATTGCACATACCTAGTTCACATATTGCTCTTGTTTTTACTTCACAACTTATATCTCTCCATTGGCCATTCGTTTTCATGATGACACAGTCTTCATTAGAGTCATTATCTGGCTCGCCTGCTGCCCAGTCTATTACGATTTTTATTTTTAATAATTAAAGTTTTAAAAAAATAAACAAATTTTACATTTCTAAAAACACTTAAAAGAGTAAACTATATCACTTACAATATATATTTTCTGCTCGGACGTACACAATTGATATACAAATATCTAATGCCCATCAATGGGCGTTATCTATGCTATAATTAAAAACATACCTTGAAATCCATCTTGTAATTTTGAACCGGCAATCCATCTCCAAGAGTTTTCTTCATCGATGTCGTTCAGACCAATTAAAGCAGATAAATGTAATAGTTCAATTTGAAGAACCAAAACATGATTTCTCTCAGCCTGCGTTTCTATAGAGACTAAGTCGGCATTCTCTGCTCTGCACATGTCGCGTGACTCTTGAAAGTTTTTCTTAGAACTCAGAAAGAAGTAGCAACTACTTTCGAAAGCTGTTTCGCAGACTAGAAAATTAATTAATTAATAAACTAATACATATTGTATGTTTCTTCACGTAACAATTTAATTATGGATTAAAGAAGAAGAAAAATAATGTGCGAGTTTAGTAAGCCAATATTTTATGGCACGTGATGAATAAATAGGAATAATTCTTTTAATCACTTACCAACAATTTCCACGTTAAATGAACATGTTGCTTGCTCAATCTGGTTATACATTGCTGTACACGTGACCACTGTCACACCAGCTAGGAACTCTGAACCAGAACTCGGTTCACATGTAACCTGCAACTCGCGATTATACGGATCAGTAACTTGTGGTGAATTCCATGATGCAGCAGCACCCGTTACACTAGGATCTATGTGAACTACAACGTCACTTGGACAATCCATAAAAGCATACATAGTACCTAGCAACAAAATAAACAGCTGACAGTAAATATGTGCTTTGATGATTGTATTGATTGTATTAATAATAGTGTATCACTATTAGGATATATGAAGATTACATACTTGTTTCACATATAGCTGTCAATCGTTTTGTGCACACGTTGTCACTCCATTGGCCGTCATTATGAAGCAACCCACAGTTGTGGTCGTCTTGCTTGTCCGGTTCTCCATTTTTCCAATCTAGTAATAAAGCACGATAACAGTGTAATGATGCAAATCATAAAAACATACATTTTTTTTTTATTTAACAGTCCGTGTTGCACTTTAAAAACCTCTCCAATTTTCGATTATATGTATTAGGTTTTTATTCTTTTTAAACAGCCAAAGAATTCACTATTTAAGGGTGAAGGGGATGTTATATAATTCAATACGCCTAATACAATAAAAAAAAAATAAAAAAAGGCTTATGGTCACAGGTTTTATTTGAGAGAAACTTCATTTACAGAATTTGAGCCCAGAACCAGTAGATTGGATGATTTTTATCCCCAAGCCACAACTCTATTGACTATTTCAACTATTTTTTGACAAAGTCACTCGACGTAATTGTGTGTTTATAATTACATTCAACAAAGTACATACTTGTGAAAAAGTTGCCGACTCGATCTCCATTGATCCAGACCCAATCACCCTCAACTTCCTTGTCATCCATTCCGATGAATGCTGATCTTACCTCCGGCATTTCAACAACCATTTTTGAAGTAATATAAATGTTTTCATGAAGTGACTCGATCACCACAAGGTCAGCTCCGATCTCCTGACACACCGCTCGTGATTCAGAGTATGTTCTCTTCTCTTTCAAGAAGACGTAACAGTTTGACTCTAGTCTATTACTACATGCTGATTTGAAAAAAATATACATATTCATAAATCATTGCACATTGAACATAATTATGTTAAATAATATAAGCCATGTGCTATAACTTGCAATAATTTGCTTAGAAACCGTGGTATCTTCCTACTACAAATAGGCTTTTTGTTCATATACATCTATTCCAGTTTCCAAACATTTTAAGACCTACCTGTCACAGTAACTGGAAACCCACATGATAGGGTTGTTCCATCTTCAGTTGTTGCTACACACGTTACATTACTACTACCCAACGGGAATTGCGAATTCTTCTGCGGTTGGCAGACAACATCAAATGTTCTTCCGATTGTATCATTAACAACTGGGTTATCCCAGAATACTTCTGCAGTCGATGTGCCCTCTCTTGCGAAAGCAGAAGCGCTGGATGGACACGTTATTATAGGGAATCGAGCAACTATTAAATATAAAACATATTATTTGTAAAGTTGCCTCTTTGCGGGCATACGTCACAAACGTTGTGGTAGACCAAAATTACGTGACCAATTTCGTCTTGAAAAACATCATAAAAACAAATTTATTTTGTACTTCTGATTTATCTTCAAAATTACATGTTGAAATGCTATATTATTAACGAAATAATAATTATTCAATAATTGATATGCATCCACTGTTGATTAGTAAACAGTGTACGACTACTGTACATATTTTGAATTAGGACTATGATAAGCTGATAAAACATGATTACAGTATTTGTTTGCATTTAACAATAAGTTTGATATTTCTTACTTCCTTCGCACACTGCAGGAAGAGCTCTTGTACAGAAGTTATCGCTCCAAGTCCCTTCACTCAGCAATAATCCACAGTCTCGGTTGTCTTTGTTATCCGGTTTCCCATCTTTCCAGACTAAAATAAAAGCAATGTATTATATTTACTAACTCGATCGTTTTTCATGGCGATAGATGATATCACTACACAAAAGAATGCATAAGCCTATGCAGTTGGGTGTAGGAAATCTCAATTGGGACTTACGAATGTAATATTTGGTTTACTAAATCAAAAAAGTTAATGCAAACATGGATACGTTAAATATGCAGTACAAACAGGCCGTTTTATAGTCAAAATCCTACGATTTCACCTTTTCACAATTTGTGAAATTTTCTTGAAATTTCGTTTATACTGTGTATTATACCATCCTAAAATGTAAATTATTTGGTTTACACTACAAACGTACACGTTGTGGCGGAATTTACGCTGTCTCCATCAATCCACATCCACTGTCCCTCTACATCCCTATCATTCATGCCAATAAAAGCTGATGGGGTGCCAGAAAGTTCCTCAATCATTACTGACGTAACGAATGCATTCTCCTCTGGAGATTTGATAATGGCAAGGTCCGTTCCAATATCCCAACAAGCCTTTCGAGATTCTGCAAAAGTTTTCTTTTCCGACAGAATAACAAAACAGCTGAATTCCAGACGATGCTTACAAGCTAAACGACAAAATTAATTTCTGTTATTACAGGACAAAATACGATTTTTTTGGTAGGAAAAGTAAGTTTCAGCTACACTTTATTATGTTTTTTTTTTTAATTTGAACATAAATACAAACATACCTATGACAGTAACTGGAAACATACAAGAAACATAGGCACCATCTGAGCTCCTGGCAACACACGTGACAGTTGTTTCACCCAAAATGAATGTAGAATTTATTTCTGGATTACACTCAACTTCGAACAGTCTTCCGTTGTAGTCAAACACTGTTGGTAGTCCCCAGGACACTTGTGTCTCAGAGTCGCCCTTGCGCGCGAATGTGTTAATAAAGTCTGGACAAGATATCACTGGGTAACGAGCGGCTACATTTTTAAAAAATTATACAGATTCAAATTACTCCCTTTATATATTTTATATCAATTTTTAAAAAGTTTAAATCATCTGCTACATTTTTTTAGGAAATTGCTATAGAATGTTTATGTCAATATTAACTGAGGCTACGGTCAGACTTGGAGATATACCGAGCTTGAGTTAAGCTCGGCTCAACGTTAAACCCGGCTTAACTTTGCCGGGCGTTCAGACTGGCAGGATTAGCCAGGCTCCAAAATTTGCATAATAATGAACCGTAACCAGGAAACGTGTTTCAAACATTGCTTGCGAAACGTAGCCTACGCTACCTCACAGCGTACGTAATTGAATGCTGATTGGTCATTTTGTTACTCGAAGTCAATGCAAGACCCCGCAACGATTAAAGCCCGGCTTAGAAAAGTTAAATACGGTGGCACGCCAGGCCTAGTTACTATAGGAACACAGCCCGGCTTGGGATAAGCCACCTAGTGTGAACTATAAGCCTAAGTAATTTTTTAAATAGTGAACAGCTGGCCAAAACTGTGTTAATCTGAATCTACGACGTATGTATTTCGTATTTTAAAAATAAGAAGAATAAATACAATTATAATTATTGTTTATTCTTTATTATAATAAATATAATATATAATAACGATAAAGATAATATAACAATAACAGTATTTCTAACTGATTAATCAAACTGACCAATAATAATAGTAGAAGGTACAGTAATAGTATTATTATCACTATAATGAGAAAAAATTTATTTGTTGCGGAAGACGTTGCCAAAGAATAAAATGAAGGAAACGTAAAAGTTAAAGAGCTCACGTGACTCGCAAATAGCAGAATGCTGCTCCGTTGTACATGGTCGATCTCTGAATTTTCCGTTTGCTTTTATTACTGCACAATCCTCACCATCGCTCCCTAGGTTGTCCGGTTGATCGGTGTCCCAATCTTGTAATGGAAACGTACAAAAATGAAAAGAAAAATACAATTAGCTAATCTCCATTGATCTTATCATACATGTTTATTATTTTTAATTTTTTATACCTACCGTAGTATCCGTCTTCCATCGTTCCGTCACTCCAAACCCACACTCCTTCAGCTTCTCGGTCAGTGTAGCCGATCCAGGGTGCTTTGTTTGTTGTGATTTGTTCAACTAGAGCTAATACAAATGTGTGTTCTTCTGCAGAATTGATGGAAACCAAAGCGCCACCAAGGGCCTGGCAGCTGTACTCAGCATTTGGCTGGTCGTACAGATCTTCTACAGCGTAGTAGCAACTCTCTTCTAATTTATCGTCACATGCTAGACGTAAAAAAAAACGAATGTGAAAACTAGTATAAAGTATATTGAGGAAGCCATATGATTATTAAAACAAACAGAACAGAATACATAGGTCTAGTATACAGTAGCTGCACAAACATAAATTACAAGCTTTGGAAATAGATAATTAGGCCTACTATCGTTATTGTTATGAAAATAGTAAAACATTAAACTTCTACTAATTGTTGATAGTAAAACAAACCGGTAACTGTTACAACAAATGAACAAAAGTGTGATAATTCGGAACGTGGATCTTTAGCCTGACACGTGACTTCGGTTTTTCCAATTGGAAACCTTGTTCCAGAAGTGTAAGAACACTTGATTAGAGCAAGACTTTCTTCAGTAACATCATACAGTTGTGGTTCTGGCCATGTGACTTCTATTCCATTGGAACCGGGGTCAGCAAAAGCACCAGCATGAAGCGGGCAAATGAGACGTGATACCTGGAGCCCTATATATAAAACAAAATAATGTTTGGAATTTTCGCGATGGTAGCCATTGTGTGTTTAATAAACTATTGATATATAATATTCATAATTTCACCATAGAGAAAATAGTTTCACCTAAAGTGATAGGATCTGTTGAAAAAGCTATAACTGACACTATATTACTTTATTTGAAGTCAAGTTTAAAAAATACAAATGAACTTGCCAAAAATTCTAAATTATTTTCAAAAAAACATGGAAAACAAACAACAATTCCAACATGGAAAATTTGTTTTTATGTAACAGGCCTACCGGTAGTAAACACTTCGACCTCGCACAATTGCAGCTTTATTTCATCTAAATCCTCCAACTGAATGCTGACGTATCTTCCTGCAATCACCGGAGGGCATTCTATATCGATACGGTAATCAAGCGCCACCATCGTCTGGTTTATTGTCGGTCCACATTTCCTGTTCCTCTTCGGTATCTCTAAAACATTGCCAACACGGACAACAGCACCGATTAAGTACTCTCCTGTAATATGAATATGACGATAATTAGTTGTAATATACAGCAGAATTTATAACAACAAAACCGCCATAAACCCAGCAAAACTAATACAACACCTTATGTTTATTGAAAAATAAGGCCTATCAATAAAATTTAATCTTGCAATTCAAAATTATTGAAACTAAATATAAGCACATACCACAGCAATCCGCCCTATTTGTAATGATTATCTTTGCAACAACGTAAGCATAACCAAGGTCCACCATCCACCACGGCTCCAAACTACGCCCTGGTAAAATATATTTCGTGATAACAATTAAAATAATATAATTGTATTAATACTTTTTATATTGTAGTTATGATGTTGTATCGAGTCTACACATCCTTAGATGCTCTACTGAGTTATTTGACCAAAACTGGTATACTCACTTGACTTTATTCATCGTGACACCTTTTTCTCAAGGTAATTTGCGTATTAATACCGTACGTAACAAATAGCGATAAATTACATGATAGCAAATTTAGAATGAAAAAAACACCTCCATTATCTACTGAGGAGTTATTCTTTTATTTTCTATTTTCCTTTATTACATATGGACAATATGTAAAAAATTGATTAACTCCAAAATATCCAGTAATGTCGTCCCAGCTAACAATTGTACGTTATAATAACGTTACGGTTTCGTGTACAAAAGTTTTTTTTCGTATTATAACCTATTTTTAGAAATAAATAACATTGCTGCAATGTTGTATTAAGGTGGTCATTTTCTGACATACCTTTCGCAAACGTTAAAATAACATTTTGTATCTCCTTGGTTGGGTTTTGCAAAAGAACATTTTGAATACTATATATTTCCCTTTTACGGTATCCATCATCAGGACCTACACGTTCTTTGCTTGTGGTTGTGGTTCAAATAAAATGTGTCAGTTTGTAAAGTACTGCCCACCTCGTTATAATGGCAAAGATTTGTGATAAAATTAAACATTCATATTCGTTATGTCAAAGATGAGATAAACATTCATACTTGTTATACTGCAACTGTTGTCTCGTGCTCTAGGCCAAGGGTGACCGTCAACAGCGTTCATTGCACCAGATTTTTCATCATATGTACTGCTCATCATCACATTGTGGCCCTTAGTGTATGAGTTAGGACATGGAAAATCGCCGCACAGGTCACTCTCAATCAAGTTTCCCGAACACAAGCCTGGCTGACTGCACTGACGATGCCTACTGCGAATACCGCCACCACAACTCACTGTGCAGGGAGTCCATGTCACCCAGTTGTACAAAATTGCTTCAAGTATAGCACAAAGTATACATTTAGTTAGTAATTTAATTTGTTGTAACTAGTACTGTATATTATGTAAGTAGGTGTATGAGGATGTGGATGCGTGTGGGCGACTCAATCTTCTAAACCGGTGCTAGCCAAGCAGTGTTTGTACTGAACTGTGGAATCATTCTAGAATGTTCTCACACGGCTGCTAACGGTTAGCAGGATCCGGATCCTGCTAACCGTTAGCTGCCGTCCGTCCATACGAGAAAATCCCGATCAGGATACCAAAAATATGATGATCGAATCACTGGCCAATAAGAAACTGGAAATTGTAAACGCGTACGTGTGATTGGTTGATGATAGAAACGTGCTCACTTGTTAACCGATAGCGCTTGCTAACAGTTAGCGATATCCGGATACCGCTAACGGTTAGCGCTAACATATCGGGCGTTCTCACACATGTGCTAACGGTTAGCGCTAACGGTTAGCTCCCGATCCAGATACTAGGGCTCTCGTGAGAACCAGGCTTGAGGTTCCTGATTCTATCTCAATTCTGTTTTCCTTTGGTAACCATAGGGCTAAAATGCAATAGTATATAGAGCACCATCTTTCGTAAAAGTGGTTTATAGGCCGTTGGTCCTGACAAATGGCTCTAATATCTGCATGTAAAAAACGCAGCACATCCTTCGGTAAGGAGCAGGGGATTTCCTCTCGGTGTACTGTGCAATCAGCTAACAGAAAGACACCCTAGAAACATGTCTTCAAATATTTGCGAGTGTTAATGTTTTTTGTATACAATATTGACTTTTGTATATTCTTCTTGTGACTTTACCTTGTAAAGAATTTTCAAATAGATTGCGTCTGAAAAAAACTTGTCCCATTCATTCTGATACCTCTTATAATAATTATAATAATAGAATACTGGTGATAATTTAAGTATTTATTTTATTTCAGTTCTTACCATCTGTCTCTTTTGATGGTATTTCACAAATGACTGAGGAATACGTGGAGGCACATTTCTCGCTCTTCCAGTGTCCGTAAACAGATGCGACTGCACATAAAGCGCTACTTCCACGAGGATACGGATGTCCTGAATGCCAAACTAGAAGAGAAAAATACAACATGTACCATCATCTCCCTTTCTGCATTTCAAACGTGCAACGTTTATGACAAGTTTTCGGAAGAGAGTAGGCCCCTATATAGTTTCCTCTATTTATTTATTTATTTTCTTACTTATTTATTACATATTCCAAAACAGAAATCCTAAATTCCAACACAAGATGTGGGTATCCAGGCCCGTAGGCAGGGGGTGCATAGGGTGCGGACGCACCCCCTTCCAATTCCAAAAGGTTCACTTTTTAAAACTTATGACTTCACAAAATCGTTCCTAATCATAAAATGCTACAGCATGCATTGTATTATATATTTGCTAGCTTATCTAACTGTTGATTTTTAATAATTTGGTATGAAATTTGTTAGAAATTGATCGTCTCCGGTGATTGCAGATTGATCTATATAATATCAAGAATTTTATCTATAGACCTGCAGATGTACAGGACATAATATCGTTAATTTTTCAGGTCCTCAAAACACCCAAATTAATGAAATTTTAAATGAAATATTCATAAATTATGTGTTTGAGAAATCTATTATGTAAGACCCTCAAAATGCTACTTTGTCGCTTTTCTTACAAACCCCCTCCAGGCCTCTGCCTCTGAACCACCAAATTTCAAAAAGTCCACTTTTTAAAACCTATTATTTCAATAAAACCGTTCCTAATTATTGCGAAATGCTATAGTATGCATTACATTTTTTTTGCCCGCTCTTTTACCCGTTGATTTTTATTAATGTGCTACGAAAACTGTTGGAAACTATCAGCTCCAGTGACCGCAAAAAATTAATCCATGTCATCTGTAGGCCTACAGATGTAAAGAACATGAAAAATTTCAAGTGGGAGATCCCCCTAAAATTATTTTTAAAAATGGATAAAAAAGAAAAATCATAATTAAAGTTTGTCTGAGAGTGCCATTTCCGGCCATTTTGAGGTACCACAATCATAAATTTTCTTACCTCAGCCCCAACCATGGTGGGGCTGAGGTGGTATTGACCATCTGTCTGTGCAAGTTCCTCCCTTCACCCCCACCCTCTATTTCTCCTGCTTTACTAGTGGTTCCTAGACAATACTCAAATGAATGAAAATTTAAATAGGATATTACAAATTATGGATTTTAGAAATCCATTAAAAAAGGCCCTCAAAATGCTAATTTGTCAGAGCTTCCAGAAGATTCTCCCCACCCTCGCGTGGATACCTAGGCAGTCGCCGATCGTAAGGTCCACTTCGGTTGCAAAACGCACCTCCCCATCGAAAATCCTGCCTACGGGCCTAGTATCCTCCAAAACCCCTGACCAAATATACAATAAATTTCAAGCAGCACAGAGGCTAAGACGATAATCAGCAGATTAAAATAGCCTATAAAAAGAATGATAAAATATAGGCGCGTACTACAAAAGTTTAATGAAATTGACCTACTTGTAAAATTAACTGCCAAATCGTCAACAACCCAGTACCAATCTTGACCATAGCCAGCTGACCTGTACCCTATCCATGATGTCCTGTCAATACTGCATCGTGAAATGTAATGCCGAATATATTCGTTTTCGTCTACGTTTTCGATGACTGGAAGATGTCCCCCTGCTTGTTGGCACATTGCTTCTGCATCGCTCCACAATGCGATCTGGTTGAGGTTTATGTAGCAGCTTTTCATCCAACAATTAAAGTTACCGGTATCTAATAAAAGTATCATTTATATAGAGGCTTGGACCTAGGTCATGTATTTCAGAATAACATGTTACTGACAATGAGTAACGACTATAGTGAAACTCCTAAATTCATTGGCAATGTTAACTAAAGAGTGATGTCATACAGTTAAAACTGTATTCATCCATAAAAATTAAATCCTACTGTAATGAATTAAAATTCATGTAATTGGAACCCTAACATAGAACATAGGTATTTCTTCTAATATTTGATTAGCAGCATTATATTTGGAAACTGGTATGGGAGTCATAAGAATGGAAAAGTCACATTCTGGAAGTACAAAACTTGAATTGAAAATTGAAGCCTTGGGATTCAAATTCTGTCATTTCTGAAACTTGCGAGACTGGAATAGCAATACAAGGATTAGGACCCCTGAATGCAGCCCTGAATAACTATAGAATTTTGAAATCTGTGAGAATAAAATTGTAACCCCAAAATTAGGATAATGTAATTGGAATAAAGAAATGGATCTTCACTTTACTTCATTTATTTAGCATCCAATCAAATACAATACAACATGAAATAACAATGACGTACAAACTACAGAGTAAACTGCCTGTTTAAACGGAGAATGGATGCATGGACGATCCATAAAATCAAGAAACGTTGATTTACTTTCAATGCAGTCCGAAGCCGAACGTAGAGTACATATATAACTATAGAAAAG